CCCCAGCCCCGGGCGGCCCACCCCAGGCCAGCAGGGCCCCGGCAAGCTGGTGATCAGGGAGTCTGTTCTTCGGGTAGCTGCTCCCCAGGCCCCTTTCTCTGCCCCAGGAAGGCCCTGGAGGCTGCTACAGGCGGCGAGGGGCCTGGGAGGACCCGGGAGGGCAGGGGCAAGGCCTGGGTCTGGTGGCAAGAACCGGTGGGGGGTTCAAATCACGACATTTGGCACAGAATGTCAGCAGACACGGATAAAGCCCCTGTCAAGTGCCGGGCACTGTTCTAACTACTAGCTGTTATCAACTTGGGTTAATCCTCTGATCACCTGTGAGGGAAGTGTTCTTGTGCCTGGATTTCACAGATAAGGAAGCTGAGGCTCTGGCTGCTGACTCCTTGCCCTGGATTGAGAGGCTCTGAGATTCCGGGGCAGGGGGGTCCTGATGTGTGAGGGCTGCCGCAGCAGCAATAAAGGGAAATGCAGTGAGGACCTGATCATGATGGTCCCGCGAGCCTCTGCAGGCGTTCTCTTCCTCGCCACTTGCCCTGTTTCAGCCTGGCTGGCCACCCACTGCCTGCCCCTCTGAGCAAGATCAGGGCAAGCCTGGACCCCAAGTTCCGAGGCGGGGGGAGGCCCTTGTAGGCCTGGCCAGCTCACCTCCAGAGCTCTGGCCCTCTGGCTTTTGCTGCTCTGGCGACCTTTCCAGCCCTCCTAAGGGAGCACAGAAAATTAGGCTTGGGGACTTCCCTGGTGGTTCAGTGGCCCAGACACCATGCTCCCTGTGCAGGAGCCCTGGGTTCAATCCCTGGTCAGGGAACTAGATCCTACATGCCAGAAGTAAGACACGGCAAAGCCAAACAAATAAATAAAAATAAATATTAAAGAAGAAAGAAAGAAAATTAGGCTTGAGATGTGAGTAGCCAGTTCACCCTCCCCAGCAGTGGGGCAGCCACAATGGCTGCAGGGTGATCCACGCCAGGAAGGGCGGTCCAGCTGCCTGGGGGGCCAGGGCAGGGCAGGGGGCTGGGTCTAGACCTCGGGGGGTCCTGGGCTTCCTGCGTTTTATCCGACACTCCCACTCTGGCACAATGCTCACCTCTCACTTTGGGGGGACCCCATCCTCTCCGGACACCAGGCTGCGCTGGGGCCCAGCCGTGGGGCAGGGTCGGACTGCCGGCCTGAGTTGGACCTGCCTGTGTCTGGAGCTTGGCTGCCCTGCATGGCTTTGGGTGGCCACTCCTTCCAGCCTCTTGTCACAGCGCCTCTGTCCCCCCCGCTGGGGCCGGGCCTCCCTGAATTTCCATGGCCTGTGGGCTCCACGATCTGCCCCACTCTGAGCTCAGAGGCACGAATCTGTCTATCGGCGTCCTCCTCCCTCCAACCTGCATCCTCTGCCCAGCTGTGCTGTGAGGTTTTAGAGGGCAGAGGATCCTGTCTTTTTGCCTTTCACTCATTCATTTATCCAGGCGGCACCTGCCACATACCAGCATTGTGCTGGGTTTTGGGACTTTACAAAAATGAGTCAATAATGCCCTTGCAGTTGGCCACACAGTAGAGTGAACACTGGGTCCACAGTCCCCCCTAAATGATGGAAAAGGGGCAGAAAGAGGCGCTATGGGGACAGAGGATGAGCCAGGAGAGGACTGCAGGGGAGACTCAGCTTTGGGAGATGCAACTAACATCTAGCTATCCTCACTTTGGGGAGGGCCCGTCGTCAAGGGCTTCAACAAGGAAGAAGTTGGGAGGCCTCTGAAATGAGGCAGCTTGTCCTCCTGATGCAAGAGGATGGACTGAGAGCTGAAGAGTGGCCAGGCTCCGGGGGCTGGTGACGCCCCGCTTCTAGACCCAGGCACTGTCTCAGGGGTGGGGATCCCACAGACAGAACAAGAGAGAGGGGTGCCAGGAGGCCCCGTCTCAAGGCCAAGCCTGTATAGGCGATCTTAAAGGATGACTTCCACCAAAGTGAGGATAGAAACCAAGAAAGAAGGTAACCCTGGACCCGACAAGCAGGGGTCCAGAGTTGGAAGGTGGTGCGGGGGAGGCCTAGGACCCCAAGGTTCTGTAGGGAGAGTCCCGCAGGACTGGTCCGATTACCAAAGGGATGTGACCGTCTCGAGAGGAGGGCTCCTGTTGCTGTTTTTGCTGTGACACTCTGTTTGCGAGTTCTTAGTTCTCTGACCAGGGATTGAACCCAGGCCCCGGCAGGGAAAGCGCTGAGTCCTAACCGCTGGACCTTCAGGGCATTTCCCAAAGAGAAGGTTGAAAGTCTGGTCAGAGGCTCTGGCGTAGATTGATGACGGGAACAAATAAACAAAAAACCTCAAGAGGCAACTTGATTAAATTTGGGAAACAAAGTTTTCTAGGAGAGAAAATCTAATCCTGAGACACTGTATGATTCAGATTCAGTCATATCGACATGCTGTAGCAGGAATGTACAACTGAGATGCTGATTTCATAGAGATGGTAGTAGATGGTTAGAGGTTGGGAGGGGGAGGGGAAATGGGTGATGGAGTACTTGAATCTTAATGGGAAGTAAAATTCTAATCGACAGTAAGAAATCAATAGATACAATCTAAAATAGAAAAATCGCGAATTTGTAGTATCTGCACCTCAGGTAGAAGAGAGACACCCAAGAGCAGGAGAAAATGACCAGCGGAGGTGAAAGTTGGCCTGGGGGTGGGGCAGGGGCAGGTTTCTGCATCAGCCTTGAAATACTGTTTGAGTCTTAAAATTGTGTCCACTGATTCTTAAAATTATGTCCACGTGTGACTATAAACGTTAAACTTACTTAAAAAAGGAGGGGAGGATGTTTTTGCCACAATTTAAAAAGAGGAAAGGGAAGGAAGAGGCCCCCAACATAAAGACAGAATGCACCAAGGCGGCCCCCCACTCGCACCCCCGCCCCCACCTCAGGCTCAGCTGAAGCCGGCAGTGGACCCAGGCAGGTGGGTGGCTGTGGAAGCAGAAAGCCAGCTCAGGGGAGGCCCCAGGCGACGTCAGTGTGAGAAGCTAATCCTCGCTAATGGGTTAGTTGCTCCACCTCTCAGATGCCACCAGGGCCCTCCAGCAGCTTCGGCAGATTCTCCAAAAATATTCACTGGCTGGAAGCAGTGACCCTAAATCAGAAAAGCAACTTCTGGGGGACGCAGCTCCAGGCACACCCCTGGGAAGGTATGGGGAGGTCGTGGAGGCCTAGAGTCTTCCCCGTCCTGGATTCCATGTCTCGTGCAGGAGCCGGAGGGTGAGTGTGGTGGTGTGTGTGTGTTGGGGGGAGGGACATGTGTCCACGAGTCTGCGGGTGTGTGTGCACGCGCATGTGTGCACGGCGTCTGGTTGGAGGGCTGTGGTCTGCCCCATCCAGTCTCACGCCCCGAACCCCGGGCCGCCCTGGGAGACTCGACTCCCTCCTCGGCAGGTGTCCGTGGAGCTGGGGAAGGAAATGCCAGAAACCCACTCCCGCTTGGCTCTCTGCCTCGGCCTCCTCACGTGTTTCTTCTCCAGGGCTCGGAGTGTTCTCTCTCTTCCTTCCTTGGATAAACCTACTCAGAGGTGAGGCTCTGATGGGCTTGTATATTTAAAAAGGGCAAAGTGTTAAGCTAAAGGAATGAATTTTTAATGGTGGGATTTCGGGCCTTTTTCTCTCAGGAGAGATTCTGTTTGTCTTGGCTTCGACTTGGTTTTGTCCGAGTTTCCCCACATCCCTGGAGCCACTCTGAAGCTCCAGGCTCCCTCCCGGAGGCCCTCCCCCAACCAGCGCCAGAGGGCTCCCTTGGGTGGGCGTGTGGGGGGTCATCAGCTTCCTCTGGCTCCAGAATGGGCCCCAGGCAGGGAGGGTTAGGGTTAGGGTTAGGGTTAGGGTGGGTGCACAGACTCTCTGCTCTGCCTTCAGCCCACCCGGCCCTGGCGCACCCTCCCCAGAGGGAGGTGGGGGGCATCCCGGGGGGCCAGGAGTGACCTGCATGCCCTCCCAAGCGGTGGGGGCCGGGCAGAGGGCAGCACAGCCACCCTGAGTCCGGCCGACGGCAGTGACACCGGGCCGGCTCCCCACGCCCCGCCGGGGGCGGCAAGCGCCCTCTCTGCGGGGAGGCCTCAGAGGGGGCAAGGGAGGGACGAACCCCTCGTCCACCCTCGGTCCCCAGGGCCCGACCCAAGGGCCCTGTGTGCCTGCTCCGGCTGCAGCGGCTGTATCGGCACCCCCCTCGGTACTGACTCAGCGCAGCACAATCGCCTGTCCCCTCGTCCGTCCTGGAGGACAGGAAGGGAGAAGGAGCACCTCTGGGGCCACGGCTGAGTCCCTGCCCGTCCCTAGACCTGCTCTCCTCCTCCTCAGGCTCCTGGCCCAGGGAGGCCCCCAGCAGAGCTGAGAAGGGCCCAGCACCAGGGGTATGGGGGATGCCAGGCCCTCTTGGAGATCAGAACTCCTGGTCGGGTCAGCTGACCCCATCTCTGGCCACCTGAGTGAGACTTCTGGGGGGCTGGACCTGGAGCTTGGGCTCCTGGGGTGCCAGCGTCACTGCTCTGGTCTCCCCAGTCTGCCCAGAGCCCCCTAAAGCCCACTGTGTTCAGCCACGGGACTCCTCATCCGAAGCCTCTGAGCCCTCCTTTTCCCATCCCCCACACCACCCGGCCCGCTGGTACCAGGACTGCCCTGCAGGACAAGCCTCAGGCCGGGCCAGAGGCAAGGCCGCCTGACTCTGCGGCCCCTGCTGTCCCCACAGCCGGCGGGGAGGTTGCGGTGCCTCCCCTCCCTCCTGCTGTGCTGCTGACCCCTGCTGGCCACCCTTACATGCCCCTGAAGACCTCCCCTCCCTGCCCAGGCATCAAGTCATAGGGCTTGAATACTCCCCAGGACAGGGAGCTCATCACCCCCAGGCAGCAGCGTGCTCCAGGCAGAAACGCTTCGGCTTCTGAGGCAAGTCCTTTGTCATGAGCTGACATCTGAACACTGGTTAATTCCATCTGTTTACACATTTTCATCATCCTCATCATTATTAATACTGTCTACGTACCAGCACGTTGCAGTATGTCAGCGAACACTTCAACGCTTGTGGAGTTGGTGCCTGTGTCAGCTCCATTATATACTGATAGACGGGAAACCTGAGGGCCATAGAAGTATGTCACACGGCCCGGAAGTCACAGAACCTGGGCTTCAGATCCAGAGCCCAGGCCCTTGCCAGCTAGGGGTGTGCCCATCCCAGTTCCACCATCTGCTTAGCTCCCCTCTCCAGCATGTTCTTACTTCTCTGCCAGGGGCCACTACCTCTCCCCCAGACCCTGCAGATGGATCAACTCCTCCTCCAGGAAGTCCTCCTGAGACAGCCAAGGGTTATGGAAGGAACCCTCTTCCCCAGGTATCTTCTAATAGAGGAAGGGAGGGGTTAAGGTGTGGGAGAGAGGTGCCTTATTCAGGGCTCTCATGGGTCAAAAATCTTGGTTAAGCTTTAACCAAGAGCTTGCCTAAAACAAACAAACAAAACAATATGAAAAAAAAAAAACTAACAAAAAAAAAAAGAGCTTGCCTAGTGTCATGCCATCTCAGTAAAGGGCAAGACCTTCAAACTCATCTAGTTCCATCCATTTATTCCATGCTAGCATATCTGCTGTGTGCCCATGTAGTCTCTGCTTACATACCTCCAGTGACGGGGGGTTCATTATCTACCAAAGCAGTTCAAGGCTCAAAATATCGAGGGCCTTCCTTCTCCTACAGAGCCAAGGTTTGTCTCCTTGAGGTTTCTGTTCACAGGCCCGGCCCTGCCCCTCATGGGTCATCAGAACTAGCCTAACCCTCTCCTTATGATGTTTGGAGCAAGGGACCATATTTCTGCTGAGTCTTCTCTCAGCGAAACCCAAAAGAGGGGGCCAGTAAGAGATCCCTCAGAGAAAATGAGAGGTGCCCACCGGATGGGAGTGTGACATCCCACTCCCAGTCCTCAGCTGAGCTGCCAGAACTCTGGGCTGGACTGTGTTAGCTTTGGAGTGGAGGGTGGAGAGAGTTCTTGGAGTAATCCATCCACGTGTGCAGCCCCCCACCACTTTGGGAAGTCCCAAGCCTGACTCTTGCTGGGATGTGTTTAAAGGGAGAGGCTGCCTGGGGTGCGCTGGCCCCAGGAAAGGAGAGACAGGCATGGGGACCTGATTACCAGGTGGACAGAGAAGAGGGCAATCAGGCTTGAGATGCATAAAAGGTACCTGCCCAAGAGGACGGCCTGACCAAACAGGCTTCATACTCACGTGCTCTGACTCCCAGTCCCACTAACCTCCAACCTGAGTGGTACACCTTTATTGATGCAACTACAATCGACTTCTCCATTGCCTCCCGTAGACCTGAGCATCAGCCTGTGGTCCCAAACCCCTGCTGGAACTTAGCCCCGGCCCCCTCTGCATCCCCAGTTCTGTGCAGTCAGGCCTGTGGTCCCGAGTGCTGGCATCTCATTGCCTTCCTCCTGCGAGTTGCTATTCCTCGCCCATTCCTCTGCACATGAAGGCAGGGCACAAATAAATCAATAAAACCAAAATAAACACGTTTGTCCCTGTTAAGTTTCATCTTGTTAGATCCACCCCATCGCTCCAGCCTGTCAGCTTCCCTTTAGATCCCAGCTTTGTCATCTGGCATATTTGCCATCATCTCCCCAACAGTGTCGCATCTGCAAATTTGACAAAGTCCATGGAGCGTGTGTGTCTCAGACGAAGCCCCCTCCCCCAGCTGGGTGGCTGGAGCACAGTTGTGCACAATCGTGTGTCCATACACACACGCGCACACATACACTTTTCTCTCCGTCTGGGCCCCATCAGCCAACTTCAAGATCCTGGGAGGGGGAAATCCTTGGGTACCTGTGCCCCCACCAAGGACCTGGCACTTGGCAGACATTGCTGTGTGTGGGGGGGGGGGGGAGTTGGGACACTCTGGGGACCTCTGCACCTTCTAACCTCCCTTGGCCATTTTTCCATCAACCTCTGACGTGCCTACGCCCTGTCAGCCTCTTCCACTGAGGTCTTGGGTCTCCTGGACGGCTGTGCAGCCCTCCCTGCCCCCTGCTAAACATGCAGCGCCCCCCCATCCAGGTTGTGATGATGGCTGCTGGCGTGGAGCCAGCCCGACTGCCTGGGGTGAGGACTCCTTCTCCCCCGCACCTGCTGGGCACCAGCCCTCTGATCCTGCTCTTCAGGGGACCCCAGACTTCGTCTTTGCAGTAATTGCGTAGCAGGGCTAGCCAGCTCAGAAAGATCCAGACCCTCACTGCAGAGGCCTGCTGGACACCGCGTTGACAGAATGAGAAAAAACCCAGGGCCTAGACTGACCTTCCAGAATCTTCTAGCCCATTCCCAGCCTCCAGGCACTGGATGTTGGATTGGCAGGGTAGAGGGGTCAGGCAGTGGCCTCCTCCTGTCCTACAGTGACCCCAGCTTCTTGTTCTTCTCTCCAGGAAGGGGGCGAAAGTGAGTTACGTGTATCCTTCAGCTGATGCTAGTAACAAACACCCCCCGATTCCTGGTGGCTGGCGCCAACACACAGCAATTTCTTACACCATCGCGCAGCAGGTCCGCCCGAGATCCAGCCAAGGCTGTTGTTTCTCCAGGACTCAGGGTTCCGCAGTAGCATTGAACCAGCTCCGGAAGCCCCTGCCTCCCAGCACCATTGCCACTTTCATGTCATCGGCTAAGGCGAGTTACATGAAAGTGAACGTCGCTCAGTCGTGCCCGACTCTTTGTGACCCCATGGCCTATACAGTCCCTGGAATTCTCCAGGCCAGAATACTGGAGTGGGTAGCCGTTCCCTTCTCCAGGGGATCTTCCCAACCCAGGGATCGAATGTAGGTCTCTTGTGCTTCAGGCAGATTCTTTACCAGCTGAGCTGCAAGGGAAGCCCATGGTCAGGCCCAATTTTCAAAGCAAATAGGGAAGAGTGATCTTTTCTTCGGGCGGGAATTTTGACAAATGGCCTTGGTGATTCTTCTGCCCACTAAGCCGATCCTGTCCCCCAGAGGGGCCTGAGTTCCCACCTTACCACTTGCAGGCTGGCTCTCTGAGTCCAGCGTGGGCTATTCTTACCCTTTCCCCCCTACCGTCTGTGTGCCCAGGGTGTGGCCCTCATCTCTCGCATTTCTGCTCTGCGGTGCATGTCCTGTCTTTTCTCTTCTGGTCTCCATGTGCCACCCCTTCCTCTGAGAGGTCTTCCTCCCACCTCCTGCCTAAAGAATCCCCAGGACAGAGGAGCCTGGCAGGCAGGGTTGCAAAGAGTTGGACACGACTGAGCAAGTGAGCACACACCTCCCGCCTCCTATCGCCAGTGCTGCACATGGGGGTGCGCTCTGGCCCAGGGGCGGCCCAGAGCTCCATCCCCAGTGGCTGTCCAGGAAGTGGGCCCCACTCCCGTCTGTCTCAGCCCTTCCCATCCCTCCCTCCCTCCGGTGTCTCAGCAGCCAGGTGGGGGAGCCCTCCGAGAACATGTGGCCGCAGCCAGGCCCCTGGTGCCCGCCCGGAGCCTGATGGAGCTCGGAGGCCCCCTCACCCTTGCCTCTCCAGGGACTGGCTTCTGTGAGCTCGTGCGCACCCCTGGTGCCCAAATTTGTCTGAGCTTGTTTTTGTCACTTCCAGCTATAACACACACTCCTGGGGACCTTGTCCATACCTGTATCTGTTCTATCATAAGCAACAGACCACCCAAAATGTAGTGGTTTTGTGTGATAAAATTTCATAGAAACACACACACACAGCATGTCAGACTGGTGAGATCTAAATAAGGTCCATATCTGGGTGAGTAGTTACCCTCTCAAGTCAGTTTCCTAGTTTGTACAGGGTACATGATGCTGTGGGGTCGCTGGAGGAGGTGGGTTGAAGGGTACAGGAGAAATAGCAGTACTAGTTTTGTAACTCTTTGTGAGTCAAACTATTTCAAATGAAGAAGTTATAATAATAACATAGGGACTCTCCTGGCGGTCCAGGGGTTGAGACTCCACCGTTCTGCTGTAAGGGGTGCAGATTTGATCTTTGATTGGGAACTAAGATCCCCACATGCTGCACGGCACAGCCAAAAAATTAAAAAAGCGAAAACAACAGACTTAGTAGCTTAAGATAACACCAGGCGTTTACTCCTGATCCTGCGATTTGGGCACTGCTGGATGGGGACGGCTGATTTCTGCTCACCTGGGGCTGGGGCACCAGCTGAGATGCTGCACCAGCTAGGGCTGGCGGGCATCTGTCTCCCCACAAGGTCTCTCCAGCAAGGCAGCTGCGCCTCTACGTGGTGGCTCCAGGCTCAAGAGGGTGAAAGCGGAAGTGACAAGGCCTGCAATGCCTCCAGCCAAAATTAGCCTGTGTCCCTCTGGCCACGTTCCATTGGTCAAAGCTGACCCAGGGCCAACCCAGATTCAAGAAGAAATACCACTTGGATGCATGTTTTCTGGGTCCAGCATGGAATGTTCTTCCATGAGATGGAGGAAGTGGCAGAGAACCTGTGGCATTTTTAACGCATGGCCATCACTGATGTGTCAGGAGCTTCTGAATTTGCCTCTGGGGGTCTGGTCCAGCCTCCTCACTAGGAATGTGGGGATGGAGGCTGGAGAGTGGAGAGGGGGTCAGCCACAAAGAGGGGCATGGGTTTAGGAGCAGAGTTGGACTGCTAACCCAGCTCACCCCACATCACCCCAGGGACGCCCCAGTTTCACACAGTGCAGCTTCACCAGCCTGGCATCACTGCTTGGGATTCTGTTTTGCACGTGCTGGTGTTTGCAATCAAAAAGTTCAACGGCCCTTCCAGTGTGCTTAAATTAGTCCCCACGGAAACCAAATCATTTCATTTGCAGAGAAGGGCTTAATTGCAAGGGGAACGAGGCAAAGGGAATTCTGTTGCCTGTTTTCATTGAAGAAAATTACTGTACTTTCCCCTGTCTTCCTTACTAAACAGAAGCAGCTTAGAAATTGGGCTGTAATCACCAGTGATACCTCTCCTACCCTCTCTTCTCAGAGCCTGCTCAGCAATTCCCGGCTCCTGAGACCTTTCTCCAGGCCGTTTCTGCCTGCCCACCTGGCAGGGCAGCCTGATCCCAAGTCCTGGCGCTGGGCAGCATCTCCCTGGTTTGGCTGGAGTCTCTCCTTACCCTTGTGATGTTTTTTTTTTTTTTTTAAATTTTTTTTTCCATTTATTTTTATTAGTTGGAGGCTAATTACTTTACAACATTGCAGTGGTTTTTGTCATACATTGAAATGAATTAGCCATGGATTTACATGTATTCCCCATCTCGGTCCCCCCTCCCACCCCTGTGATGTTGAGAGGATTGTCCTCAATGTTACTGGGGCCTCAGCCAGGGACTGGCCCACACACTTGGCAGGAAGAAACACCTCAACTCTTTCTTCAGAAAACACGTGAAGTGGTCTTCTCTGGCAGGCAAAGGTTAAGACTTCATGTTTCCAATGCAGGGGGCATGAGTTCGATCCCTGGTTGGGTAATTAAGATCCCATATGCCACAGAGTGGGGCCGAAAAAAAAAGAAAACACATGAAATCTGCTCCAAGCTCCTACTCACCAGGGCTGCAGAGAAGTTCCATGTTGAACGAAGGGCATCCCCATGAGCATCTTATGCAAATCCTAGCGCTCGTCATGTATGGATGTGAGAGTTGGACTATAGACAAAGCTGAGCGCAGAAGAATTGATGCTTTTGAACTGTGGTGTTGGAGAAGACTCTTGAGAGTCTCTTGGACTGCAAGGAGATTGAACCAGTCCATCCTAAAGGAAATCAGTTCTGAATATTCTTTGGAAGGACTGATGCTGAAGCTGAAACTCCAATACTTTGGCCACCTCATGCGAAGAAGTCTCATTGGAAAAGACCCTGATGCTGGGAAAGATTGAAGGCAGGAGGAGAAGGGGAAGACAGAGGATGAGATGGTTGGATGGCATCACCGGCTCAATGGACATGAGTTTGAGTAAACTCCGGGAGCTGGTGATGGACAGGGAGGCCTGGCGTGCTGTGGTCCCTGGGGTCGCAAAGAGTCGGACACGACTGAGCGACTGAACTGAACTGGGGGCTGGTCTGCTTTAGTGCCTGGCAGAAGGTAGGGAGCCTGGGCCATCTGCACCTTCTGCTGTGGGCTGGCAGGTCCTTGGGGCTTGGTCTCAGAGGAGAAAATCCAGCAAACAGACCCCCTCCTGCCTGGGGAGCTGGTTCCCTCTCTGCTTCTCTGCCCGAGAGCCCCACCCTGGCTCTGAAACTCCAGCCCGATTGCCTCCGTGGCCAGTGTTTCCCTGGGGAGGCGCCATGGGCCCTTTCGGAAGCCAGGAAGCAGGCTGGTAACCTGCAGCAGGGAGGTGCGTGAGGAAGCGAAGTATGTAGCACTGCTGGTGTTGAGCCCAGAGAGTGTGCAGTGTGGGGTGCAGCCACAGCTCCCCGTGGGGATGGCAGTCTGGAGATCAGGGTTGGGAGAGGCAAGAACAGAGGCTCAGGGGGAGCGGTGGGCCTGGGGAGGGCCGCGAGGGGTGTGGCCTGAGTAGACGGAGGAGCCTCCAGGGTCTCTGTGAGGTCCCGGTTGTTTGTCTGGAACAAGGTGGTTCCATTCCGTCCTGGCATAACCTCAGCAACACAACAGTTCTGAGCACAGACTCCCTTCTTTGGAGAGGAAAAGAGAGGCAGGCCGTCTAGGTTCACACCCTGGCTCCGTTACCTTCCTGACCTCTCCGAGCCTCAGTGCCCCCCCAGGAGCGGGTAACGACAGCACCCGCCGCCTGGGGGCATCATGAGCGCATCACGAAGCTATCATATGCTGACTAATTTTATCGTGTCTTTTAAAAGAACTTCCTCTGCTACAGGGATACGCTGATTAGCCCGAGGTGGTCCTGAGAAGGCTGGCTGCCCACCTCTACCCACTGGAAACAGCACCAGGCGGCATGCTGCCCCTCACTCACCGCCTCCTCCCACCCCGCCCCCCTCCCCGGGGACCCTCTGCTCAGATCCTTTTCTCTCAAGCTTGCTCCGGGATGGGCGTGCAGAGCTGGCCCGGCTGCCCAAGAGGTGCTGCTTGGAGACGTTGGGCTGACTTCTGAGTCAGGCTCTCGTGATCCCCGCCTTTGGGGGAGGCCGACAGGATAATGGATTTGAGTCCACACACCTGTCTCAACAAAAGGGTTCTTTTTTTTTTTGAGGCTCAAAGTCAATGGTGTATTAATTAAGGGGGAACAGCTGCTACCGCAGTTCTTATGATAAGTCAGTGACAAATGGCTGTGTTTACCTTTTTCCCAAGCATAGACTCTGGAAGGTGGCCTGGAGCTCCTGGGTGGATGTCCACGGGTGAGATTTGTGGGGTGCACCTCTCCCTCCCTCAGCCATCAAGCTTCTTTACTGGTGCCCCCCAAGCCCGAGAGGGCCGTTCGTCACCGAGGAGGACAGGGCTGTGGCCTGGGGAGCCGGGGAAGGGGCCAGCGGAAACTTCTCAACAGCCGGCCCCCCACAATAGATGCCCTCAGAGCCCTTCGTCAGGCAAACCCCACCGCCTCGTGCTGTTCCTAGTGAAATGAGAGCTGCTAAAAGGGGGGGCTTGGCCCTTCAAAGCTGAGAAAGGCAGCAGAGCTGAGTGGGGCTGCCTGCAGGACTGAGGATGCTGCTTGCCCGCCTGGGGCCTTTGTGCCAGGCCCTCTCCACCATAAAGGAAGGGGCTGGGCGGCGGGGGCCTTTTGTTATTTCTTTTATTTTGATCTTGCTCCTGTTCTCCAAACAGTTTCACAGAAATAGAACCTCGTGTTAGCTCCCTTCTCAACTTAAGACAAAACATGGCAGTGGGGAAAATCGTGCACTGAAAACCAGAAAAGGGAAGATGGGTTTGTTTTTTCCTGGGTTGTATTTCTGGGTCCTTGACTATCAATTTACCCGCCGAGTTTCCAGCTGATGGGAGGATGGCAGGATGGTGCTAACCTGCCAGTTGCACCCGTTGGCCAGGCAGTGGGGCGGCCTTCCCCCCAGGCTGACAGGAAGGCCCACTGCACGTGGCGCTGACCCCCACTGCTAGCAGCTCACCCACGGTGCCCCAGGGTACAGCCAATGCTGGTAGAGAGCGGTAGGACCCCCAAACCCCCCCCCAGCAACCCTCTGGCTCCATTGAGGGCACTCCCACACATCCCCTGATCTGTGTTCTCCCCAGTGGCCAGCCCCGAAAAGACAAGTTTGCCATCAACGTCCACTTCCTGCCTCTCTGGGAGTCACCATCAGTGGCCGAGACACCCTGTCCAACCTCACCCATCTCTTTCTACCCCTCCTACGGAAGGTGCTCAGCACCTCTGGGAGCCTCTGGGGCCTCGAGGGAGGCAGAAATGGGGCAGGAGAAAGCGGCCCCACTCCTTACTACCCAGAGCCCAGGCACATATCTTTTGAGTTCAGCCTGCAGTGCAGCGTCATCACACTGTTATAAAGTGGAAACTGAGGGTCCAAGGTGTGTGATTTGCCTGAGGCCGCTCCCGCCTTCTGCAGACCATGTCTCCCTGGCCAGCGCTTAATAACTCTGCACGTTGCCTTTCCTTACACATTGCTTTGAGGGGAGAGGAAAGAACCACGGACGAGAACCACATCCATTTTTAATAAGTATTTATTTATCCAACAGTTTCAGCCCTGATAGTGAAGCCTGCTGCAGTTTCTTCTGGCTGGAGCCTGCTTATGAGACCTGCTTTGCCACGGGGCAGGCGCTGGGATTCCAGGCCCGCCCATCACCCCAGACATCAGAGGAAATGAGAGAGTATTGCTCAAATAAGGGAGACTGGTGCTTTATTAAGGAAACAAAAAAGACCAGTAAGACCAGAGAGAGCTGCTTAACGCCTTCTGGAGGCAGCTGTTCCATCTCCTCGGCTCACCCCCTCCACGGCCCGCTGCGGACGAGAGCCTGCAGGGATGCAGCTCAGCCGGAGGGGCCCCCGGCCCTGAGCTCATCAGGCCCCTGCGAGGGCTTGGGGGTGCTGGGTCGGCCTCACCCCTACCTGGAGCCCAACAGCAGAGGTTCCGGCAAATCGCCCCGGGGTGGGGAGGTGGGGTGGTCACTGTCAACTCAGCGATCCTCACCCACCGGGAGTTCCAGGCTCCTCGGGGCCACCCAGCTGGCGGCAGCCCGACTGGCCTCTCTGGAGGGTTCCTTCCGGGAGGTCACCCCACCTGCTCAGGCCCCCAGCCAGAGCCGGGGCGCGCCTAGGCCGTGTCTAAACAGTTCTCCTAGGGTACTTAGTTCTAACTTCCAGCCCCTTCCCCTCGGGATCACAGGCCCCACCCAGCTCAAGGAGGCTTTCTCCCTCACTCCTGGGATCCCCAGGAACACCCCGCGAAGGCACATGACCAAGCTGCTCCCCGCGCCCTGCTGCCCCAGTCTGCCACCCCAAACCACCTCCCACAGGTGCGGTGGGCCCACCAGGCGCACACTTGCTCTGCAGGGGCTCATGGCCCCTGCGCTTTTATTTCTTCGTGAAAAACCAACCCCTCTCCTCTTTCTGCGAGCAACGCTGGGCAGAGCGGATCGGCCAGATGCAGAGGCAGCTGCCCCCTGTCTCCTTCCCTTGCCCCCTGAGGACGCTCACGTTTTCCCACAGAGCACGTCTCTGCAGAGTCTCACACCTTTGAACCAAGGTCAGGAGGCGGGTGAATCAAGGCAAGTGTGAATTCAGCACCAGCAGGGCGTGGCCCTCTCGCATCCTGGAGTGGACTGGCCTGGGACAGGCTGATTAGGTACCAGCCCCCGCCCAGGGTTTATCGCTCTGAGTCAGAGAAGGAAGAGGGCTTAGTCCATCTCCACACCAGCATATCTTCCCCGGCCACGCGGTGGGACTCAGTCTGGATCCGGGATTCGTTGGAGGCCAGGAACTCCACTGCCCGGTCCCACACCCGCTTCATGCGCCTCCTGTGGAGACGGGGAGGGGAGGGTCAGGAGGCCAGCCGGCCCAGGGCTGCCAAGGGAGCTGGGCTGTGGATGCCCTCTGTACCAAAGCTGGGAGCACACCCCGAATTTATCTATCTGAGGGAAGAGTGGTCAGGTGCTAACAGGACTCTTGCAGAAGAGAGAAATTTCATGAGCCCAGAGAAATGCTTCCTCAACCGTCTCTGCTCCAAAAGCTTTCAATTAAAGGGAGCTGAAAGGGGCTGCAGCCCCCCCACCGCAGGTGTCCAAGTGGGAAGACTCTTGCTAGGACTTGATACTGCGGCAGGCCCACCGCCCCCCTCCAGTGCGGGCTGCATTTTAATGTCTCGTGTGGGCTAATTAGAGAGTGACCACTGGGCTGTTGAGTCCAGACTCCACAGCACTTCAGGGGATGGGGCTGAACTAAGCCTGCAGCAGGGGAGGCCTGGACGTTGGAGCTGCCTGTGGAGACAGAGCCCCCAGATTGGGCCGTCTTTGCAGTGACCAGAGCCCCTGCTCTTTGGGGTCCCCGGGGCCCTGCACCCCCTCAGACAGCCTCCTATTTCCTCTTTGCTCCTCTAGACCAGACAGGAAGATCCCAGGGTGGTGGGGGAGGGCTGCTCTGACATCTACCCTTTGGTGAGACCCAGCCTCATGTCTGACTGCAGACCACTCTCCAGTACCCTAAGCATGCAGTGAAATGTGGGGGTGTGTGGAGCAGGGCTTTCAGTGGGGAGCGCAGATGGAGGGAAGCTCCAGAGGTGGCCCCTGACTCAGGAGGCAGAGCGGGGTCTCGGGGCTTTCTTCCAGGGGGGTCAGGTCCAAACTCCTGGGCTGTTCAGCAGTCCTCACTTGGCTGGTCTGGCCCTGGCCACAGCACGCCGGGGACTGAGACCTCACAGCGGGCTCCTGAGCTGGGAGGGACGGTGGCCTCACTCAGCCCCTTCCCGGGCTGCCCATTACCAGGTGATGAACAAGCTGCCCCGCGTGCCTCCCTGAACAAGCTCTTCAGATCTCCCTCACCGCCCACAAGCAGGCCCTCTCCACAGGGCAGTGCGCCCACACAGGGCTGACTGGCCGCCTGTGTCCCCATGAGCCAAGGGCTTGGCTGCCCTGACTGAGTGGCCACCAGCGGCCTCCCCGAGAGCTGGAGGGCTGCGGGGTCTCGTGCGGGGGGCCAATGGCTAGGATAACTGGTCACCCTATACCGTGTCGGTCTGCAGGAGGCTCCTGGGCCGGGGTGGACGTGAGGGCCTCAGCATCCTCACGTCGGAAAGGGGCCTGTGCAAGCTCTGCTTCTCCAGCTCCTGGACGGACAACCAGAGCCCAGCACTGGGAGCAGAAATGCCCCAGCCCACGGTCTCCGAGCAGGCTCCTTGCCGTCCTTATGCCTCAGGGTTCTCAGCTGTAAAGTGGGGTCCTCGCCGTTCCCCCACCCAGGACCATGCTTGAGGGTGGAGCGCGAGAGCTGCACCCATGGAGGGCTCAGAGCGGCGCCCAGCCCGCGGCAAGCACCCAGCGAAGGGGACTGCTTAGCACCACCCGAGAGGGCAGCATCTCGCTGGAGAACTGGCCAGAGTCTGAGCCCACACTGCGGTGGGCCCTCCCTGCTGGCCACTTCCTGGGACTCTCCCGATTCTAGCCCACCCCTGGTTTTGTCAGGGATCCATCCAGCATCTGCAGCCCACAGGGACAGAGGTCCCAGAGTCGTGCATGACAGTGGCCGGCCAACTCCTCCCACGAGCCGTGAGCCCATTCACTGCTGCGAAACGCTGTTTCCAAGTACAGGCGTGTGCATTTGTGTATGGGAACTGGACTGTGCTAGCTTAGGTAAGATGTGTTTCTGACTGTGCATCATGGCTAAAGTCGTATGAAAAACAACCTCCTCTTCCTTGCCAGTAACTGATTCAAGGAGAGATGAGTCCCTGGCCAGTGGGACCTCAGAGCTGTGTCCCTAGTGGCTTCTGGGGATGCTTTCCCTTGCTCAGGAGAGCGGCAGGGGACCCACCTCCCCTCCGCCGGCTACACGGCCAGCGCTGCTCTGCCTGTCAGCCACAACTCTGCGCCCACGTGGACCTCCCGCCAGCTGACAGCATCCAGAGGGCAGAGCAGGAGAGTCCCAGAGCGGTGGAACCAGAGACCTGACCGTTCTGTCCCTGACCTCCATTCGTGGAGCCCCATCAGGCCCTTCCCCGCAGAGCCACTCAGGGAGGAGACCGAGGACGCGCTGTGCAGAGAGGCAACGCTAACAGCGCTGCCGTCTCCAGAGCAGGGGGACCACGCCTCTGCACCGCGCGTCCGCATTCTGCCCTAACGAGTGATGGCAGGGGGCAGAGGTGGGGACGAAGCCTCACGCCGGGACCCCGGGGCTGACGGCCCCCGCCCTGCACGACTCCCGCGGCGCTCAGCGAGGTCTGCCTGGAGACTCACCGGCTCTGCGGCGGGATCAGGGTGTCGCGCACGTGCAGGATGCCCACATAGGGGTAGCGCTCCATGTCCTGCTCCCAGTCCACGTAGTGGTCCTGGACCACATCTGCGGGACAGAGGGTGCTGTTCAGAGCGAGGCCCCTCAGTGGGGGGGCCAGCAGCCCTCTCCCGGGGGCCACGCACCTATGATCTTCTTCACCATCTCATACATGGCCTGCTCCTCCTCTTCCAACTTCCGCCACCGGTACTTCAGGAGGATCAGGAGCCCCCACAGGAACGCCAAGCCTGGGAGGGAACACGGCCTGGTTAATCCCGCCCGTCCCTTTCCCCGGCCAGGAGCCCACTGGCTCTCACGGGGTAGGTGGCTGTGCTGGAGGCCAAGGGGGTGGCGTCCCTACTGTGTCAACCCGGCTAGCAAGCAGGAAACGGAGGATGGGAAATGCGGGGTCAGGGAGGAGACAAGCTATTAAGCGGTCATCTTCCTCCCGCCGGCTGTCACCAGAGCGGCGTCCTAGTCCTCCTCCTAGCCTCATCCCAGGCTTTCATCTTCTCCCTTGTGAACCAGAACTCGCATTCATACATATATACATGCCAGGCCCTTTGTATTCGAGATGCTGCTGCCGATAATGATGTCTGGGCCTGCCTGCGTCGGGAAGGGAGCCGTGCGCACGCCCAGATGGCCTGTGATTTGTAAGCCGGCTCTCTCTCTGCAGAGTCAGGCAGCTTCTGTGACATGGGCTTTCGCCTTCAGAGACACCCCAAGGTCTCCGCTCAAAGGCAGCCACTGATGTCAGGAGACTCCCCTTTGCTGCTCAGCGCCCTGGGCCTGGCTCACTTTCATCAGGTGTCTGCAGCTCCCCAGCAGGTGCTTACATTGTTCAGGGAGTAAAATCAGGCCAAGCTCCAGCTGCGTCTTCCCCGCCACACGGCCTGCACTCTGGAGCCCCGGGAAGAACAGTGCCCAACTCCAGCCCAGGCCGTGTGCCCCTTTGGGATGCTGATGGCCCCCACCCCACATCAAGATTTTCTAGTTAACCTTTGTGCGCCAGCTGCCGGGTCTCCAAAGGAAAGCCGACCAGGACAGTGGTGGACCGGATCATTTCCGTTTCACTAGACAGGCCTCAGGTTCACTGGGCAGAAATGAACTCTGTGGGCCTGGGTTTCTAGACCTTGTCTCCCGTGCCCCAAAGTGTTGCTGAGCCCCGGGGGCAGGGCAGGGGGAAAGGGCGGCAGGACTTACACCAGAAGAAGATGAGCACGTTGGTGACAGCTGTGAGCAGGGCGCGGCTCAGGCGGCAGCCAACACCCATGCGGGGCCGCGAGGACTCCAGGCAGACCACCTTGTCCACCGTGGTCACCAGCTCAGACGGGTCCTCCCCTTTCAACCTGAGACGGGACACAGGGCTGTAAACAGGCTCAAAAGCCCCGAGGAGCCACCGTAGAAGCCTCCCTTTCAGCAGAAAGAGGAGGAAGGAGGGGCTGGGAAGCCTCCACTTGCTGATAAATAGACTTGGTACCCTGACTGCACTCTTTCCAGAAATTTCCCATGTTGGCTACTTAGAAAGAATAAAGCTTTAAAGACGGCAGCAGGCTTGAACCCCTGCCGCTAAAGTGACGCCCCCCTCTGTTGGGTCGTTGACAACCCCTCTCAGCGTGTGGAAGATTAAACTGTAAATTGGATTCCCACCTCCCAGCACAGAGAAATGGAAATGTTTACGGAATCGCTGGCTTTGCGAGGCATGGGGAGGGACTGAAACAGTCTGGGACGGGGTGCTTCTCCTTGGCGATGAGGAGGCTCGTCAGCTGTTTAAGTGCAGAGGCCACGGGGCGCCACAAGGCCCTGGAGCACGAAGAGGCCCGGCTCCCAGAGGCCAGACCCCAGCCCCAGTGAGGGGGGCAGTGGGACGCTGGGAGACGCCACAGACCCCCGTCCTTCTAGGAGGTGACAAGTCCCTGCTCTGGATGGCACAGTGAACAGCTGGTGCTTGAACTGTCTGGATTTCTCATGACCGACTTCTTTTTTTAAAAAATGTTTTACGTTGAAGTATATTGATTTACAATATCACGTCAATTACTGCTGTAGAGCAAAGTCCCGCGACCTACTTCTAATGCTTGTCGTGGGGGCCGGGCTCAAGCCAGGCTGCCCCCTCCAACGGGAAAAGGCGGTGTCATCATTCCTGGGTTGGCAGCTTCAGCGTGTGCTGCCGAGGATAAAAATTCGTGTTCTTTGCCTTTTCTAACACTTGGGAAAATCACTCAGCCACTCAGGGAAGCTTTATTATTATTATTTTTTAAAGCCAATGAATTCTAATGCCATGCATCCAGTTATCAAGCTTCAGGCTCAGCTGCCCGAGGGGCTTCTGCTGGCTGCACTGCTGATGGAATTAGTAATTTGAGTGGATTAGAGAGGAAGAGAACAAAACCCCAGAGTGTGCTTTAATATCAGCAGCTGTAACCTGAACAGAGGCCTGACAAACCCTGAGGAGTGGGGGGTGACGAGGCAGGGTCTCCCCAGCAGGGGACTCCCGAGTCTGCAAGTGGCTGGTGCCCCCACCCCTGGGCTGAGGAGCCGGTCGGGGGCCTTGCAGGAGGGTGAAGAGGTTTCTGCGAATCGTGCTCGCCAGGGACAGAACAGGCCAAACCACCCAGCTGGAATAAAACCCGGTCTCTCCATTTACAGTTTCCATACTGAGTGAAACCAACATACAGAATTGCCTCATCTGCAAATGAAAACTAGCACCAAGGAAAGACAGAGCAGAAAAATGCCTTCTCCAGCAAACCACAGGGCCCAGCCGGGGTTACTTGAAACAGGTGTAGCTGGACTGCCAGGCAGTCACCCTGACACCTGGATTTCCGCGTCTCACCCTAAGCTGCTCCCTCCGTGGCATTGCTGATCCTTCTCTCTACGCTGCCCAGCTTCAGGCCGGCCCTTGATGACTCAGCTGGGAGACCCGGCCTCCACCTCCGGACCCCAGATGCCAGCGCCGCCGGGCAAGGACAGGGTCTCACTCACCAGATGCCCACGTCCTTGTTACTGCTCAGTATCCAGGTCAGCGCGGCTTCAAACTTGGTGGAGGAGCTGCTGGTCACGTTCTGTGGGAGGGGGCAGGGAGATTAGCGCTCCATCTGGGCAGAGCAGCAGGAACCCAACGGTCCTGCTGGGTTGCGGAAGCCCCCTCCGTGTCCCCCGCGTGCCCCCAAGCCCTGCTCCGCTAAACGCAGAGCAAACTGGCAGGATGGCGATCTGGGGCAGATGATCCCAGAGAAGAAGCTGTTGGAGGAGGTGATGCGGAAGTGTGCACGGGAAAACGGGGCAGGTCTGCGGCAGCCAGAGGAATGCAATTTCCTCAAGGATGGCGGCGCCAGGCCAGAGAGCTGGCAGCTCATTTGGAGGGACGTGGAAGAAAACATGGGGGTGGAGGCCCTCCCTGCGGCCACAGCTGGCCATGTGGCCTCGGGCAAAGGCCCTTCCCTCTCCAGGCCCCAGCTGCCTCATCTGTGAAACGAAAGCTGGACGAGGTGACCCCTTGGGTTTCTGCCAGTTCCAGAAACCTAGACTTCTGTCATCCTGAGGCCACATTGAAAATCAAATGGACCCGAAGCAACCCGCACGGTGATCCTGAGGAGAAGTGGAATGGCAGGTGACATGTCCTAAACAAGCTGCTGCAAGAGGAAAATAAGCCAGAAGAGTGAGCCCAGGGCCGCTCCGGGAAGGGGCAGGGCAGCGGCCCGGCCAGCTGGAGGGGGCAGCAGGTCAGGAGTGAGCTGCCTGCAGGCTGGCCCCGGCTCTCAGCTCACCCTGGGCCCAGTCACCCCACTGCTGCCTTAACTTCAGGGAGCTGAGCACTCAACTGCGTTAAAAAAAAAAAAGAACTTTTTTTTTTTTAAACGGGAAAGCAAACAAGCCAAAAAGCAAACACAAAATGAGGAAAATAAAACAAAACAAAACACAGGGCTTGAAAGATCAATACAGAAGCACCAGGACCTCCGGGGAATGGACGCACACGCCAGCCTACTTACTGCTATATATTCCTGAGCTTCCATGACAGGAATGCACTTGCTCTTTAGCTTCTCTGGATTTCCACATTCAAAATTACCTAGGAGGGGGAAAAACACACATTCAAACACGAAGAGGTGAAAAAAATGTACCTGGCAACCCACTGAACACGGCAGCAAGAATCAAGCCATCAGCTCTGACGGGGAGCGTGTGGCCCGCCGGCCCTGACAGCTGTGGGGCATCTTCACTGTGCAGCAAGATCAAAAGCCACTTAGCTTGGATCGAGGCCAGATCATTAAAACCTGACCTGCAAAGCAGTGCAGCGATTTGCATTAAATGACTAAAAAGCTGCCCAATACCAAGGTCTGTTTGCAATTGATCCCTAAAAGGATCAGACAGACAGCTCTGGAAGGTACTGGGATGGGACTATAAATAGACGCAGTCTGGGAAAAAGAAAGGCAGGGAGGCCACTGCACTGCAGGGTTTCTGACTCATGGCACAGGCTGGTGACCTAGAATGCCAGGTTTTGAGGGGCCCTGGGGAGCGATGGCCAAGGAAGAAGAGGTGTCCGTGTGCTGGGACCCTGGCCCGGTGCTCCAAAGCCCTCTGCCGAGCACCCTGGGCAGCCGGCTCTCACTTAGGGTGGAGCTGGGAGCCTCGCCCTTCGTCCGGACCAGGCTTCCAGGCCTGGCCCATGGACCAGCCCATCTGAAAACACCCCAGCCATTGGGGCCTCGTTTAGCCAGAAGGCTGGCCCTGGGGCCCCGCCACAGCCCTTAGCTCCCAATGGCCCGCTGTGGCTCACCCGCCAGCAGCTGCTTTGCCATGAGACCCCGCAGGAGCAGGGACTGTGCGACGCTGGGCCTTAACCCCTCACCGGCCTGACTGTCCTCAGCCTGGCACAGCCTGGGCCCCAGAGGGCCAGTCTGTATGTATGTGTCTGTGTGCTGGGGATAGAGTGGCTGAAGATAACATTACAAAATCCTGAGAATGAACTGAAGCCTGCTCCTCGTCCCCCAGCAGCCAGATCTTCCTACTTCAAAGCTGGCCTTGTCCTTCCAGGCCCCCCCGAGACCCAGTTGGCTTCTCCCATGCTCCCGCCCGACCCCAGACTGCTCTGCCCTGCTCAGGGCCGCTGGGACCACTGCCAAGGTCTCCTAGTTTCCTCCTCTCCCCTTTCTCATCCACGTTTGGTCAAGCTTTAAAATGATCCTGCTTAGATGACACTCTTCCACTCAAAGCGCTGCCTTCCTGCACCTGGCTCCCTGTCAATCCCCTGCTCCAAGCCTCCCTGGCCCTCCCTGCCTGCAGGATGGAGCCGCAATGGCCTGGCAACCATGGTTGACTGGGTGAGACTCACTCACACTCCCTGTTTCTCCTTCCTCATGCAGCTAACTGCTTCCATCCCCGACTCTGCCTCTTTGGCCCTGCCTTTCCCCAACAAATACGTACCTAGTCCCACCTGGGCTTGAAGGCCTGGCACGGAGGCCCCCTCCCCTGTGACACTTTCCTGACCGCTCCAGCTAAAAGACACTGTGCCTCCTAACTTCTGGCCTCTTGGTTCCCATCCACCAGCATTTTATATCACCCCGTGGTCAGCAGGGTGGGTGGCCTGTCTCTTCTACTGGACCACAGGCAGTCTGTGGACAGGATCCTTGAGTCACCTTGCATCCTGCAAAGGCCAGCTCAGTGCCCTGTCCATAGCTGACCTCCAACAGGAGGTAGGAGATGGAGTGCGGCCAGAGAGGCTGCACTCCTCTGCAGCCTGTCTCAGTGAGAGGCAAACCCTCAGAAGACAGCGGGTACCAGGCCCCCTGCTGACAAGAGCCAGGAGCACACAGGAGGATGGCAGGGGAGAACTGCCTACTAGGATCCATAGTTTAAGAGCAGAGCTCCTCAAGGTTACCTCCTGGGGGCCTCAGTAAACCTCAGACTTTGATGCAATAGGTTTGAGATGAGCCCGAGATGCTGCATTTCCAATAAGCTCCTGGGTGACACTGATGCTGCTGTCCTCGGACTACAACTGAGCCACAAAGGTTTCAAACACGCCCTCCGGCCAGAATTTACACGCCACACACCTGGGCTGTAACTGACTATGATGCTCTGAGCCCCAACCCCGCCTCTCCTCCAGGGAGCTCACAGAGGCCCCCGCGACCAGCCCGGTCCCCCACAGTCAGGAGGGAGGAGGTGCGGAGCTGAGGCCCACAGGCTTGGCCCCGAGGGCCGAGTACCAGTCCACTCAACCTTGACCTCCTGGCGACAATCTTAGACAAGGGCTGGCCCTGCAGGTGAGCAGCGCCCCTCGAACCTCCCGCAGACTGACGTCTGGTTTTTGTGATGAGGACCCTTAACACAGGCACACGCCCTGAGCGGACCCACATCATCAGTGGTTCCGAGAGCCTCCTGGATACCAGGAGAGGACACAGTATAATGGTGCCACCTCGGGCCTCAAGGAACACGTTTACCAATGGAAACAGTGGCAGAGATTCCGACAGCGGCATTTCCAGGGGGTGTCTTGGGAGGGGGTTGAGAAGGCCCTCCTCTAGGGAGCAGCACTTGGTTTTCATTTAGTTAAGAAAACAGACCTAAGATCACTCAGTCAAATGGGGAGACTGAGGCCCTGAGATGTCAGGGACTGGGCCAGCATCTCACAGCCAGGGGGGACACTGGGATCCGTTGACACCAGGACCCTGGAGGGCGGGACGGGCCTGAAGGCGCTCGGTCCACCACCCAGACCACGTGCTGCCTGCAGAAGCCTCTGCGCCTGAGCAGGCAGACCTGGGACAGGGAGGCCCTCCAGGTTGGGAGTCCTAGACTCTGAGACGGCCTGGGGCCAGGTCCCTCTAACGCAGCACGGACCCCCAGAACACCAGGTGGAGGGCGCCCCAGAGAACGGGGTGACCTGCTCAAAGGCCTATGCATGCGCCCGGACCCCCGGGGCCTTCAGGAATCTGCGTTTTGCTTGGCTGCAAGGCTTACACGGGATGTGCCTGTGGGGGATGTGGGGAAGGTGAGGCATGTCTTCCGGGAGACACCCACGGCTCCTCGGCCTTGGCCCGCAGCCCGCTGAGAAGGCGCGTGCCTGGGGAAACGTACTCACCTGCCTGGATGGCCAGGAAGTTGTAGAGCTCGTGCAGCAGCTCCAGCAGGGCCGCCTTCTGCTTGGCCTGACAGAACTGGAAGGGCACAGGACACGCGGTCAGCAAGGCGCGTGGGCGAGGGGCCTGGCTGCCTGCCGTCATCTCCTCAGCCACCCCGAGAGCTAGGCCGCAAGGACAGCCCAAAACCAAACACCCAAAACCACGACGACAGCAAATGCTGCCAAGAGGTGGGCCCAGGAGTCGGGTCGACAAACACCAGGTTGACTGACTGCAAAGAACGCCATGGAAGCACAGGCAGACTGACGGCAGACACGGCGACAGCCGAGGGCCCGACATTCTGCAGTCTCCCAGGCCCCGGCCCCGGTGCCTGCTGGGATAAAGGCCATTAGCCGTGGGGGGCGGGCGGCACCGCGGGCGGCACCGCGGGTGGCACCCGTCTCCTCGGAGGGCAAAGCCAATGCCGCACGATGCGGTCTGGTCTCCCCCAGGGACGCTCCCGTCACGTTTTTGGAGAGTCAAGTATCTACAGTCTGCCTGTGAGTTATCTACTTTGTGTATTGCCTGCTGCAAATGTTTAATCTTAGATTCTTCTAGAAATGGAAAATTTAGAGGAATCTAAGCTGTCGGGAGGAAAATGTCACCTGTGGGAAGAGGCACACCTGCGCACCCACTCCCACAGCACCCGTGACAGCAGGGACACCATTCAGCTAGACTCGCTGCATTTGGAACATGTAAAAAGGCTGCTTTTCTTTGCGCGTGGATGACAGGCTGGGTGCTGTGCGGAGTGGTCTCTATGTGAACCCTGAATCCTTACCACATCCCTCCCTGTAACCCGATTTCTCAGCTGAGTGGCCCAAAGTTTAGAGACCAGAAGTGGCCACTAAGATCCCATAGCTCGTAGGTGGAGGAGCCGCATGGGAGTGTCGCCAGTGGACTCCAAGCGCACTCCCCCGCTCCAGAGCGCTTCTTGGCTGTCACCCGGCACAGCCCCGGACCGGAAGTCAGAGGTCTGGGCTCTAGACCGGGCTCTGCAGCTAGGCAAGAAACCAAGATCGTTTTCCTTCTCGGGGCTCATGTGCTGCCCTGATCTAATTTGGTTTTTAATAGTCTCAGCTGCCGAGCTTTGTCCCTTCATGTGGCCTAAAGGCCCTAATGACTTAACAAGGTACCAAACGATGTAACCAAGATTTACGCACGAGACTATGAATGTCCAAAACAACTCACATGCCTACTAGCAGAGTCAGAAACCCCAACTACTTTTTAAAGACGATTTAATGATATCGACAAAGCTGATAATTGTCAAATATAACTAAATATACAGAGATCCCAATTCTATAAACACATACATACACAGAGAGAGAAGGTAGGAGGAGAAGCTCCCCAAACATTAATGGTGATTATCTCTAGGTGTCAGACCCAAGGGTGATTCTTGTCCTATTTTTCGAACTTGCAACACATCATTGTCACAATTGGGAAAATAAGCAGGAGCAATTATACTGTTCCGAACTCACAGACATTTAGGCAAAGCAAGGCTGAAAGGACAGGAGGTACCAGACTATGTGACAGCCTGATTAAGATAACACACCCACTGCCAGCCCATCCCTAGGGTTTCCACAAGACAAAAGCAGAAAGCATGACAAGACTTGCAGAGAGCTGAGACGGGGGAAAAAACACCTGTCTCTAAAACCCAAATGCCCCTCTGGGTTTTGGGTGAGCTTGAGCCACAGAAAGTGTGAGGCTTTCAACAAGAAACTCACTCAAACTGAGAAGTGCCCCCCGAGCTGCCTGCTCCCACGCGCATCCTCCCCGAAGGCTGAGTGTGCCCCACAGAACCCAGCACCAAGCCCGCAGGGAGCCTGCGATGTCCTGGGCGGGGACCCGCCTGGCCAGGCGGGGCACGTCTTCAGCGAGGAGCTGGATGGTGCGTGACGGCTCACGCACTGGGGATGAGCGGATCCCCCCACCGAGGATGACCCCGGAGGGAATCTGCCCTCCGTCATGGGTCTGACATACTCACAGGTGTGCAGGGCCAAGAACAGAAACCAGGGAACCTGTTTCTAAATAGAAGACAAGCGAAACTAGTATCGCCAGAGAAGTCTCGCAGAAATGAAATTTTTGTTCCCGTTTGTTTTCTGTCTTGAAAAGTCTAGTTTCCCCTTCTGGCCATGTTTCTGGGCCACTTCCTTTAATCATCAACTGCAGTTTTTACGATAGAAGGCAGATTATACTTATTCTGAGTCTGTTTTTATAAAACAGCACGGAAGCAAAGATATCTGGTGGATGAAAACAATAAATACGTGTAATAAAAACACCCCCAAATATGACACAGCAGAAGCCGAAGAGAAATAAAACCGCTTGTCTGCATCAGGATGCCACTTCATTAACGTGCGTAATGTGGGCCTGGGGATGAGTGTGTGTGACTCCTTTCCCGGCTTTCTCCCCCTGCCCCCAACTGCCAGAGATGTGCCCTGAGGGCTGGGGGAGGCCTGGAGTTGCACACTTAATAATTAGACTACTAAGTCATGCCCTCTGGCAGCACAAGGCTCTGCCTGGCAGGATTTATGACTTGAAAATTTACAGTCTCTATCTTCCCCAGACTACTACCTGTACTGGTGGGCTCCCAGCTCCTTGCTAATGCCATTTTCATGACTCGTAAATGGACAGGGCGGCTCACCTTCCCCAAGTATTATTTGTAGGGAACATTAAAGTGTCACAAAACCAATCTATAGACTAAGAGAACTAACTCCACTTCAGATGTGTTTAAAACAACTCCTTGATGACGTTTCAAATCAGAACAGCATTTTCAGAGCCAGAGAGGAACGACCTGAGAATGTGGAATTGAGAACCTGGCCTCCTGGCACTTAAAAAGCTGCCCACCCTCCCTCCCAAAGCCAGGGAGCTTGAGAGGTCCCTCAACCACCACCCACCACATCCCTCCAGACAGACTTAGGCAGAAGATCAAAGCCCTCGATGCTGCGATTGATGGGAGAGCTCCTATAACAAGTCAGGGGTTGGATCTTGGGAGCTCAAATTCTGTTTCAAGTACTCCTTTACTGCCACAATTGAGTCTGACACGTACATCACAGAAGACAATATGGTTCTGGTACGTTGCAGGAAGCACTCCTGAAAATGATCCTTTTATGATCTTTTTCTGGGCAAGTTTACCTCCCAATGGAGGCTAATGTCCTTGGGAGGAATAGTGAAAGCTAGAAAAACTCAAACTCACCTCATCTGTTTTTGTCTCACAGTCCACTGGCAGTAATTTCACTGAGACCAAGAAAAGAAATAGAGGAAATTAAAAGTGTGGGTTTTGGAAAAGGGTACAAAAAGGGATCATTCTCAAAATTCAGAGGAAGTAAAACATTACCAACAAAAAGGTGGGGATTAGAAGGATATCCTCTAAATGAAGCATTTTAAAAATGTAGGCAGTAAAATGTAAAGGGGTTCTCAGTCCTGGATTAAGAATTAGGACACCTGTTTTCTAATCTCAGGGAAAAATGATTAGCCACAGGATATCGGGTAACTACTCACTTAATCACTCTGAACCTCTGGTTTCTTCATCATAACATGGGATCACTAAAGCCTTCCTAGCTTAATTTAGACTCATTGTCAAACAAGACAACATATATGGTGGTTCTGTAAACTGTAAACAGTGTTATGTTAAACATGATTAATACCATCATGGGAGGCGAATTCCAGGTAAATTCCCCGTATTTATCCAAGAGCTGTTGTCTTAAAGCATCTCAGCAATGAGTATGACAGTAGACTGTTTTTAACATCACCAATGTAGTTACAGTTAGAACCAGTACAGTACTATGACACTCCTGGGTCTATTTAATTTCTCCAGCAAGTGGACAACCTGCTCTCGTAGTCAAGAAATTATCTGAGTGTGTGCGTAAGTCTGGGATCCCCGCGCCCACAGACTTCCTCATACACCCAAATATCCATCTGCTGCAATGGCTAAGACATAATTTAGCTTTTCCCTGCATTTTGTCTGTTCATGCTAGGCATGGAAAAATGTGGCCTGGGCTCAAGGCTAGGAATAGTATTAATCACATTCGTTCTTTGTAAAGAATATTAAAAGCTGGTGAACTAAAGGGTCACTTTATACTTAAATTTATACAGAAATGATCGCTCTGCTGTTTCCTATTAGCCTAGAGCCTAGAGAATTCTGGAAGAAGCAAATTTCCCTTTTAGAAAACACATAGATCCTTAACTATTCGTTATCATACTGTATCTGGCAGATCTCATTCTGCCCTGTCTCATCACAGAACTAACTGGACAGAGGCATGGCTGGGAATATCCTTGAGTCACAGGACCCTCTCTTAACACATTCCATGAAAGTGGTGGAAACAGTGGTAAATGCCACCATTTACATCAGTTTAAACTCTTTAAAGGCTCTTGCACGCCTGTCTGGGGCAGGATTCATATAATCTCCTTTTGACATCCAGTGGGTCCCCTGGGCCAAAGAAGAGGAGGATGTGGTCTTTTTGGTGCTGCGAAGCTGGGACCCCAATCAGAACCTATCTCTGAGCGAGTGACCTGGGGCACTAGCATGTGAATGAGCAAGAAATCAAAAGAGAGGGCAGAACTCAAAAGGAGTAGGGGTGGGCCTTTAGAGGGTTGTGTTAGAGGGCTTTCTCTAGAGAGGGAAAAGTAAAAGTGACTACGGATAGACTGCTTCCAGCACGTAGTGGAAAGAGAGGGCTAGGGCCGAGAGTAAGAATAGGAAGGAGTGAAGACAGAAATGATTGCAGATGCAGGAATCCCACAGCTGGAGGAAGGAAAGTCTTAAGTCTGGAGGGAAGAAGTTGGCTAGAGGTATCTAACAGGCCCGGGACGTGCGGCCTGGCGCTGAGAGGCCCGGGGGTCGTTTCGGGGACACCCGCGCGCCCAGCGCCCTCCCCTGCGCCGGCCCGGGACGTACTGTTGTCCTCCGCCTCCTGCGGCGCCGAGGGCTTGCCCATCTTCACCCAGAGGATGCCCAGGAAGACGAGCAGCAGCCCCAGGCTGGCCCAGAGCAGGAGCCGTGACAGGCAGCGCTCCAGCCGCCGCCCCGCTTCGGGCCGGGCGCGCGCCGAGGCCGCCGGGCCGGCTCTCGTCGCCCGCAGGCCCGGGCGCGGGTCGGGGCCAAGGAGGGCGGAGGGCGGCCGCGCTGAGGCTGGAGGCGCGGCCCACCAGCGCCGGAGCCCGGGGCTGGCGCCTGGCGCGGTCCTGCCGAACGGCCGGCCGTCCTCGTCCTCCTCGGAGCTGCCCCGGGCCGAGGCGCGGCGTCTAAGCGGCGCGGGGCGGGCGAGGCCGCGGGTCCCGGACCAGGAGGTCGCGGGGGCTCCGAGGTCGCCGTAGGCCCCGGGCGTCGCGTAGGCCTGGTCCGAGACCGGCGGGGAGAGCCAGGGCTCCGCCCGCGGGGAGGCCGCGGCGGGCCGGGCGCGCAGCGGCGCCTCCTCGCGCAGCCGGGCCTCCTCGCCCCGCGCCCGGGCCGCCTCCCGCGGCCGCTCCTCGCCGCGCAGCCGGGCCTCACCGCGCAGGCGGCGCAGCTTGTTGCGGTAGACGTCCCGGGTGGTGTCGGTGATGGGGCCCGGCTGGAAGCCCAGGGCCTGCAGCTCCCGCCGCAGCTCCAGGTCCGACAGGCCGGCCATGGCCAGGACACCGCCCCCGGCGCGCGCCGCACCCGGAACTGCTCCCGCCCGCGGCCGCGGCGGAGCGGGCGGGGCTCCGCGCCATGACGGGAAGGTCAGTGGTGGCCGCCATGTTGGGACGTCTGTGACGGCCGACGTGTGGCCATGATGGTGAGGTCAGGCTCGGCCTCCCAGGGCCACCATGTTGGGGAGGTCTGAAGGCTTTTTTGGCGGGTTTTATTTTTGGTTTTCTTTTCTCTTTCCCATCTTGCGCACTCCTTTTCCCTGCAAGACCAAGTGTTCTTTCTCTCTGAATCCACCCTTTGGTTGGGTGGAGGCATGGTGGTGGTAGTGTTAGGGAAGTAGTAGTTAGAATAGGGAAAAGAGGTCCGAAGAGACAAAACCTGATGTCAGGTGAGTGTAAGCTCCTCTGTTTTTGTCTCATCAAACAAAGATTTGGAGTGACGGACGTTAAAGCCCCCTCGGCGTGTTACAGCTCTCGGGTCTTGGATAGACCGTGTTACAGCTCTTAGGTAAATCAGTGTTACAGTTCTATTTTATTTAGATAATAGCAGGACAATCCATATTCCAGGCGTGAGGGCACGTAGATCCAAAGACGTGAAGACAAGAGTGCCCCATGGCGCGGGAGAGAGAGAGAGGAGAGCTTTGGCTCCTCTTTTTAGGTGTTTCTTTCTCCCTGGGCCTGTCCTATGTAAATTGGGCCAGGCAGGAGTGCTGTTTGTTTTACGTGAGGTTCTCACTTCAGTCCTCCGACCTTCCTTTGTTCTATTTTTGTGGGCTTTTCCCTTCCAGGTCTTTTAAGCACTGCCATTCTGGACTCCTTTTCCCTATTCTAACTACCTAACAGTAGTTTAGCAGCTAAGTTGTGTCCAATTCTTGCGACCCCCATGGACTGTAGCTTCCCAGGCTCCTCTGTCCATGGGATTCTCCAGGCAAAAATACTGAACTGAATTGCCATTTCCTTCTCCAGGGGATCTTTCTGACCCAGGAATCGAACCCAGGTCTCCTGCTTTGCAGGCAGATTCTTTACTGACTGAACTAAGAGGGAAGCCATTTGAGGGAGGCATGGTAGGCGCGCAATAAAGTCATGTTGAATTGCTTAATGGTGACAGAACATTACCTGCCATATCAGTAAACAAGGATCTAGCCACCACCTTACAGCCAGCCCCATTGGTGAGCCCTGAGGGAACAAACGCAGGGTGGAAACAAGGAATGCCCACCATCTAGCAGTCATCAAAGTGCAGCCACCCTCAAGGTGCAGCTTGAGGAAACTTTGGATGAGAAAACACAGGATACTAGCTCCAGATAACTGAGGTACATATAAAAGGAATAATTTCAGTGAGCTTAGCTTCTTGTATCTTCCCAAACATAGAAAAGTGCTAAATCTCTTAATTTGAGATATCTGATTTTCTTTTATTGACAGTAATCTTTTGTCACGACTTCCTGGTATTGTTGCAAAAACTCATATCATGGCTTCCTCTTCTGAACAGTTTTCTCAGGGTTAACTGAGAGGCTGTCTCCTGGGCTTACAGTCCTAAGAACGTCCACCAAATAAAACATAATTTTCAACCTTTAGGTTATGCATTTTTTTTAGTCAATAATGGTGAAAAGAGGAACCCTGCCAAAAGTGGTGAGACTAGAAACCTCTGCTTCTCTCCGAGCTTGGGGAGGACTTTGTTTGGGTCATGGAGTAGACCCAAGGGATGCTCTGGGACCCAGTACAACCTAAGGTCATGGTTGGCTGGCCTCTGTGTTTTCCTGGCTTTTCACTTACTGACATTGAGCCCCAAGTGGGTGCAGGCCCTGCTCTCGGCCAGATGTTAGCCCAAAAGGAGCTCCTGCCATCCCACGACAACACTGCATCCCATCATGAGGGCAGAAAGGCACATGCCCCTGGGCTCTGAGGGGCAGTTCAGGCCAGCGGGAGGAGGCTGTGTGGTCAGATAGTGGGATTTTTATAAGGTGTGATGGGTAGGGGGAGGGGCTTCCCTGGTGGTTCCAATGGTAGAGAATCCGCCTGCAATGCAGAAGACCTGGGTTCAATCCCTGAGTCAGAAAGATCCCCTGGAGAAGGGAATGGCTACCCACCCCAGTATTCTTGCCTAGAGAATTCCATGGAGAGAGTCCATGGGGTCCCAAAGAGTTGGATATGACTGAGCAACTAACACTTTAACTTGGGTAGGGGAAGATTCCAGAGATGTAGTTTTGTGTCGCCTGTGGATTTAGGTAGGGGGTTCTCAAGTCCCAACTCCATCACTAGACGTGTGATCATATCCAATTAACATTTCTAGCCTGTTGGCTAGTAAACCTCATAGGGTTGCTGTGAGGACTGTGTGCATGCTAAGTCGCTGTGAGGATTAGAAGAGGCAATTTGTATAAGGTGCTCAAGACACTGGGCTTCCCAGGTGGTTCTAGTGGTAAAGAACTGAGGTTGGGAAGATCCCCTGGAGGAGTGCATAATAACCCACTTCAGTATTCTTGCCTAGAGAATCTCATGGACAGAGGAGCCTGATGGGCTCAGTCCATGGGGTCACAAAGAGTCGGACAGGACTGAAGCAACTTAGCATGCACACTCAGGCACATGTGTCATAGTGTTTGTACATAACCCATTTGTCTGCAGCATCAGTGCTGTATAGAAGCTCCCACCTGGCAAGCTGTTTGATTATATGAAGCTCTTAGCAGAGAAACCCTGAAGGGAAGCATGGGGAGTAGCGACAAATGGAAGTAACACTGTGGTTCGTGGTCTTCTTTGAGTCTCCCTCTTCCTCTTTGTATTCCTTCCACATGGATCATCAGCTACCTTTTCCTAACGTTTATTGCCAGCCTCATAAGTTCCATTCCCTGTCTATGCCTCCAGTCCAGTTCTCCCCTTCCCCCAGTCTCCCATTGCCCACCCCCACCTTGTCCCCACCCTGGGTCCCAGTGTTTGCATTCCCACCACTTGCTTTATCATGGGGCATTTATCACTGGTCACACTGGGGGGGACGTGACAGCCCCAACTTGGTCAGGCCGCTGAGTCAGCCTCGCCCCCCCCCCCAACCCCCGCTTAGCTGCTCCCATGTGGTGTGGTTTCTTTCACCGAGTGTTGTTTTCCTTTCCTCTGCCTGTGTTTGCACGGAATGCCATGAATTTGATATAGTGATTGCCTAACACACATACCACATAATAGTATTTTCTTTCTTTCTGAAGCACTGTTTGCATGACAAATGAGTTGGTAACATTTGTGCCTCTCCTTGCAGCTGTGCAGTTCAATATATAAAGAATGAGCCTTTCAGCATCAATACTGGCCCTGTGTATTCTAAGAGGGCTTGAAACTGATGCTTAAACAAACTTAATGTTACAGCGTTTTGCAGAGTTACGGTCTATCTCCACACAGTGGATCTTGGCGAGATTTAAAAAGATACTGAAATGGAGCTATGCCCAGAGCTGGTCCCCAGTATGGGCTCTTGTCATCTTTCCTTGTGTTTGGGGTCCTGGCTGCTGCTACATACACCCAGGGCCAAGTGACCCACAGCCCTCCTCTAACCCCACCCCAGCCCTGTCTTCCCTCCAGCCTAGAACCCAGCGTGTTTGCAGCAGTTCCTCTACTCCCACCCCCACACTGGTCCACCTCTGCCCCCCTGGGTCTAGCAGGACTTTGGGGGTCATGTGCCAACAATTAGAGCATATTTGCTGATCATGCTTCCCTCCCTCCCATCCCCAAGAAGAAGCCTCACAATCTGAATGAAAAATTCAATCAGGAAAAAAAACCTAGTGAAAAAAGAAGTAAAAACATTAAGGGCCACCGTTCCACCAAGCCTCGGGCCTCTGCATTCTCCTCCTGAACTCCCCACTCCAGTCCGCCCCCTCCCTCGATTGATAACCCTTCAGTGTCCTTCATTACCGGCTTCACTGGAGTCAGCGTGGTCTGCCTCCTCCTCCCCCTGCTTCCATCACTTGGTCTTAGCACTCCTCTGGCACCACTGCCCTGGTCGTGTCTCGAGCCGCCCTTGAGGCCCCTCCAGGCCTTCTCGGATCCGCCTATGTCTCTTGCGGTTCTGCTGCTGGGCCTGTATGGGAACACACATTTCCAGGAGCAGGGCAATACTGCAAAGTCAACAGATGTCCTCCGTGCCCTCCTTTCTCATCACTTTGTTGTGGGTTTTTTTTAAATAAGGCAAGCAGCTCGAGCAGCTCAGGCTGTGGTCCGTCTTCTTGATTTATTAAAGGCAAAAGTGGGAAAACAAGCTCCAATGTCTAAATCTACTTTGTAACCACATCCACACATTTAGTGGAGATGAGGGGCCGCTCTGAGGACGCTCTGAATTCCCGGGGGGCTGCCACACTGCTTGCCGTTCTGCTGACCTCTCTCTGCCTTGGCAGAGCCTTGTAATAATAACAGCCATGAATCTTTTAGTGGGTTCCTTTCTCCTTCTCCTCCTGCAAAAAGCCCTACACACATTTATCTGGTCCTTAAAGATGTGCTGGGACCATGGACTTGCCCTTGATGCACCTTGTCCCCAGCCCCAGGATCCCTCTTGGCTATTCTGGGCTTCCTTTGAACCACAGCATGGGTGGCGTCACGCTGGGGTGGGGGCCCTGGGAGAGTACGGCTGGAAACAAACAATGTGGGTGTGATTTTCGGCTCAGATTTGGTCTGGGATGGCCTCTGGTCCATCCAACATCTTGCTGCCTTATCTCAGTATCCTGACCTATCTCTCTAGGTCAATGAAGAGGCAAATAGAGTCACAGAGAAGTGTCAGAAAGGGGTCAGTGAGCAGTTATGTCACCTGCTTTTCAACATTGGCTGAAAATTAAACAAAACTCACTCTTCTGGCCACTTTTACACTTTGATATCTGTGAGTAAGAGTTCCTTTAGCGCCATGAAATACATTCTCCGATGTCAATAATGAATTGTGTATGAAGAAAAATGTAATGCTTTCAGAATATTTTCTTTGGGCTTTGTCCATGATTAGATTATACTAAATTATAGAGTACAGATATCAAGCAATTACTCTTTGCTTTTAACTATTCAGTTTCGTGGCAGATCCACGTAGTGCAGTAATTATAAAATCACACTGATGTGGTTACTGAGAAAATGCCTCATCATCTCTGTCTTATGAATCTAGGCTCAGTCGCCCTATGAATTACCCATGGTCCTAAGTGTAAAAGTACATTTCAGATGAAAATGGGTAATCTGTAATTCTGTAATTGCCAGGTAACTGGAGAGATTCTTGCAGGTTTTGCTGGATAAGCCTCACCAGGATGCGGGGAGAAGGGGCATCTTTGCCCTCCTGGTTCCTCTGGGCACTTCCCCTGTCTGATGCTGCTAGGTCCTGCTCTAGGCATCCTCTAGCTTTAACCAGGAGTGTGTCTCTCTTTACTTCTGTTTTGTGAAAACATGATACTTTTGTCCTTGACTCAGCTCAGAACCTCCCCAAGCTACCACTCTATCCTCCAGTTTTAATTCCTTCCACGACTGTGTCTGTCCTGTAAGCAGTTGAGTCCGATCTCCTGGAAATAGAGGCGCTTAGGAAAAAAAAAGAATTATTTGAGCCGATGGTGAGAAATCGAACACTGGCAGGAGGAGGAAAACCGAAGGAGAAAGGCGCCGACACTTTAAAGAGGCGGCCAGGGCGCCGTGCATACAGAAGCAGATGGCTGGGCCCCCGTTCTGGCTCATTACGGGGAAGCACAGCGAAGGCCGCCGGTGAGGCTGGGGGACAAGCCGGCTGCGGCTGCGGCGCGGAGCTTCCAGCGGGGCTGTCCAGCGGAACCGACAGCACCCTTGCGCTTCCCAGGTGCTGTGCTTGCTGAAGCAATTCCCACTGAAAAAGATGCAGACCGGGACTTCTCTGGCCGTCGCAGGGAGCGGGGTTAAGACTTCACGCCCCCAATGCAGGGGGCTCCAACCCTGGCGGTGAAATTAAATCCCGCATGCCCCGCTGCAAAAAAAAAAAAAAAAAGATGCAGACCATCTGGGGTGAATCTCCCAGGAGTCTCATTTCCCTCCGTGGCATACATCTCAATACTGCTATGCAACCCTCAGGAGCTTTGAGAAAATCCCCCAGCGGGTGCGGGGACCCTGGCCCCAGAAATGGGCGCCCCCTGCTGGTGACGGGGCAAGGTGGGCTCACTGTCGGGGCGGTCCCCAGCAGAGGGCGAGGGGAAGGCGCCAAACAGAGACCGCGAGAAAGAGAGCCTTTTGTTTTTCTGCTTCTCGGAATGCGTTACTGACCGAAGGAGGGACCTAAGGGGGCTGGGAAGGGCGAGGAGGGGTCCTGGATCTGGTTCCTGCAATCCCACGCTTTAGAGAGAGATTCCTGTGTCTCTTCCTCCGCACCCTCCGACGCGCCCTGCTGCAGCCCTCTCCCCCCACTTATTAGCGGCTGTCTTGGCAGTACTTCCCGGGATCTCGCAGCTGTGCTTGGGTTGATCAGTACGTGCATCGAAAACTGTGTGAGCGTGCACAGTGCAGGCTCTGGGTCCTATGTAAGGTTGGGGGGAGAGCGTGCAGAGCACCCCAAACGAGGATCCTTTTTAGGGCTGGAGTTGTGTCTTCTTCGACTACTAATCCAGGGCTAAGCCCTTAAAGTGGCTGGGGCAGGTGAAAATTCGATGTGGGCACCGTTTAATTGCTGGTAACCTATGGATGGAAGGAGCTGTGCTTCCTATATGGCCCCAATTTATAAATAAATGAACATCCATTAACGTAAAATTAAATTACAGTGAAATTTCCCATACAGTTTTGTTTAGAAGGCAGAAATAAGTGGGTTGGCTGTGTAATTCTGCCGCAGATGCTGGAGCGTGTAGTCACACGGTAATAATAATAGTAATTTGCTTTTTGCTGGTGTCCCCGACCCCCAGATCTCAAGGCAGATATTACCACCTTGCCTTCGAAAGGCTCATTGAGGTTAAAGGGCTGACTAGAAGTTACCCAGCAAGGGGTTGAGTGCAGAGGCCTTAAAACCCTTTGGTCCATTAGACCTCAAGTCAGTAAACAGAAAATGGACCAGTATGCAGGAGACCTGAGTTCCAGTGCTTGTTCTGCCACTGGCTCAGCATGTGGGCAAAAAATGCTATTTCTCTGGCCTCACTTTCCTCATGTAGAACAGAAGAGCCCGAGAAATCTTATTCCATGGGTCTCAATATGTGATCATAGGCACACACTTTGCTAATATATGCACCATTTATGGTCAAACCCTCTCTGAGCGTTGTTTCCCCCTTTATGGCATGACCAGAATCTGACCTTTGTAAATTAAAATAGTAAATAAAAGAGTCATTTCTGTATATTTCATGATTTATTTGCTGGTGGGGGATTTGTTTGGGAGAGGGTGATTTCCTTCCAAATCCATGGATGAGCCGTGCGCATTTCTGGGGCCTCTCTGGGTGGGAGGGGATCCAAGTTCTGTCCACCTTCTCCCCTGAGTGGCCTGTCATTGGGCTGCTGGAGAAAAGCAAAGGAGGTTTGCAGCTCAGAAGGGTCGGCAGATCCGTTTATGAAACCACCTTGTGAATCTGTCTGCAGGTCTGAGGAAGGAGGGAAGGTCTGGCCAGCTTTGCCTCCAGCTTTCTGTGTTGCCTGGGGCTAGGAATTTAACCTGCCTGCCCCCAAACAACACTTCCTCCCCCCTCTCCTCTCCTCCTGGGGACTAGGAGAAGAAATTAGTAGCTGTTTGTCAGAAAAGACCTAGCTTTGCACCAGTGACTCAGGCTGACCTTGACTCAGGCAATGCCAAATGGGGCTGAAGACTTCGGTTGGCAGAATGAATTGGGGGTGGTGGTGGTGAAATTGCAGGCTTTTGTGGCCAGTCTGCCCCAGGGTTTCCTTCAGAGTCACCACCCAGCCTCGGGGGCGTCTGGGGAGGGAGGGAATTGATCTCTGCAGGGGGAGGCTTGGGGTCTTTGTCACTTGTAATCCCCTGCCAGGCAGACATTAGGAGAAGGGGTCTGGGGCCTGGAGATGCCCCTGGCTGGGGAATGGGGCTCCCCGCCTGCGACGGCCATCTGAACCCCGCCTCCGCGTTCACCACCGCCCCTTCCCCGCGCCCCCTCTCCCCGGCGTGATTAGGCTCCCCTCGGAGATAGGGTGGGGTGAGGGTGCTTGCAGGAGAAGACAGCTTTTGGTTCTCAAGAGCAAACCAGAAAAACAAATGACAGACCCCCGAAATCCTACTGGGCTGCGCTGCAGGAGGTGAACCCGGAGGTGCCCACCCGCCCCATACCCCCGTACCGTTCCGGGAGGATGGCAGCACCTCGCGGAGCAGCCCTTCCAGGGTGGCCTGGTACTTTTCCAGCTGCCTGGAGTTCATCCTCATTCCAATTTCTACAGGAGCAGTCAGCTGTGAAATAAGGCAGCGTTAACAAGAAGGGAGAGCAAGCCGTTAATCCCTGGGTGCCTACAGGTGGCAGGCTGGACAGCGAGGACCACCGCCCCCCACTCCTCCCCATCCAGTAGGGGATGGGAGGGATCTGCTGGGAATTCTGGCCCCCTCCCCTCAATCTCTCCTGGGGCCCGTGCCTGAGACCAGCCGGGAGGGAGGAGGATCACCACGCCTCCCCTGGTGGGGAGTCTGAGGAAGCAAATGCCCTTCCCCTTCCCCTGAATAGCTAACATGTGGGAGTCTTATTAGGTGCCAGGTGTCCTTCTAAGGCCTGTTAAGCCTCTCAATAATCCTATGAGGTAGAGACTATTAGAGCTCCCATTTTGCAGATGAGGAAACTGAGGACAAACAGCAGTTGAGTCACTTGCTCAAGGTCATACAAGGTTCCCAGTAGCAGAGGGAGAAGGGCACCCAGGGGGCCTGACTCCAGGGTCCATGCGGGGACCCCTAGGCGACCCTTGGATGGAGGAGTTGTCTGGAGGCTCTCCAACAAGAGGGGTGGGGGGGGCAGAGCCAGGGGGAGCCAGCTGATCTCACCAGCACCCCTAGAGCTTCCCAGTTCTGTGGTCTTGCTGCACAAGCCAGCGGGCAGACTCTGAGACCCCCTGACCCTGGAGAGCCGTGGTGGAGGAGTCCCAGGCCCACTCCCTCTTCTCCTATCCAGCTCACCGGGGGTGGGAAGTGGGCTCAGGAGGCCTGGAGGACAGCCCTGCGTGCAGGCCCGTTGCTGTGGGAACTGTCTTTTCTTACTTTAAAACGAAGAGGCTGGACTGGATGACCCAGAATGGATCTCATGGTTCTGGGGGAAGGAGAGGGGGCAAGAGGTACCCACCCCAGCTTGGAACCCTCAGCAGCCCTCCAGGCCCTGCTGGCCTCTTTGGCCCCCTCAGACCCTCCTGGGCCTCTAGGGCCTCAGAGCGGGGCCTCTGCACTCGCTCTTCTTTCTTCTGGGATGTTCCTGCTCTAGCTCTTTCATGGGTGGCCCCTTCTTACCCTCCAAGTTTCAAATCAAATGCCACCTCCTCTCCCCGGGGAGAGAATGGGAGAGAGGCCTCCCCTCCCCCACCAGCCCCACCCTCACTCTCTATCATGCCTCCTTATTTGGTGCCTAAAATGATTTCATGTCTCATCATCGGTGTCTGTCTATCCCTCCTAGGATGGAACTCGTCACCTGAGTGTCTAGGTCACAGCACGTTCTGTGATGCCTGGGGGACCATCCCCCTACTGGGTTTCTCTGCACTACCTCCCCAATCCCACACCCCATTCCCCCCCACCCCGTGTCTTCTACTCACCTTAATAACTTCCTGTTTTTCTTCCCAAGGCTCCACGGGGTCCACCTCCTCTGACCTCTGCTGTACACTCAAGGATTTCTTTTGCCCCTTGTACCTCTCCTTTTCCTAGGGGCCGAGCACAAAATCGTGTAAAACTCACCCTCTCTCAACCACTCGTGGCTCTTTGGGGTTTCTATTCGGAGTGCTAAGGGGCCTGACCTCCCACCCCCCACAGGCCAAAAGAACCCCCTTTCCCAGGCACCTCTCTCCCAGGGCATCTCAGACACCCGGTGACTTCACACCATCCTTGGATTTGCCCACCACCAAGTCAACCCAAAGAGGAATCCTTCCTTTGTAGTTCAAACATCACACCCAGGTTGTTACTGTTAATTAACATGCTAAAAATAATGGCCACCCTTCCTGCATATTAAGTATGAAAATGTGTTTTTCATAGCAAAGAGCCTATAAAAAAGAGACGGCAAGACAGACCAGCCTGTGAGGGCGCCATGGGGTGGCCCAGAAACTGGAGTCCCTGGGAGGTGATTTATAAGAGGCAAGACAAGGAGATGAATTATGGAGAAAGGAGTCTGCAGCTTCTTCATAAAAATCCCAGTGCCTGGCAATTACAAGGAGGAAACCACGGAGCAGATAAGTGCCAAGCACCCTCTCACTGCCATTTTGCCAGTTCGTGTAGCACCGAGTTAGGCTGTTTCTGTCCAGCCTCTCATCTTGCTGGGCATCATGCTTGCCAGGCCCCCGGGCACTAAAGTCAGACACAGTCTGTTTCTTTGGTTTCTCTGAGGATGTTCCGGGGGTTCAGCTCTGGGCTGGCCCTGGGCAGCAGTGATGCTGGGACAGTCGGTCATCTTCCCAGAGGGAACCAAGTGGTAGGTGGGAGGAGGCAGGTTTAGGGAATCTGCTGCATCTCTTTGCAGCCCACTGTGTTTTCTCCTCCCCTGAAGGGTCCAGCCTGGCCCCTGTAAAGCCACATGGTCCACATAAAAAAAATCTAGAAAAAAAAAATTAAGAGAAATGGGGAATTCCCTGGTTGTCCAGTGGTTAGGACTCTGCCCTGTCATTGCCGAGGGCCTGGGTTCAATCCCTGGTCAGGGAACTAAGATCCCACAAGCTGTGCGGCACGGCCAATAAAAAGAAAAGAGATCAAGAGACAAAGGTGGAACTTTTGTCAGAACTCCGTGACATCTAAGGTAAAAGGCCCAGGGAAGTGGGTCCAGCAGCCCAGTTTTCCACAGGCCCTACCACCTAGGATCCACTAAGCCTGCCCTGTTTTCTTCTGGGTTCTAAAGAGAAGAAGGCTTTGGCTGCCACTCCCTGGAAAGGCACCTTCTTTCCTGCTTGAACGTTTGTGCCCACCTGTCCATCCTTCTCTCTCGGGGACCCCAGAGCAGGTTCCCCTCTTCTTCACCAGCCCACTGTGTTTTTTGCTCCCCTGAAGTCAGTGCATACTGTCAGCATCGCTTCTGGACAATTAATCATGTCCTGTCTTGTGACATCTCCCCGCTTTGTTTTCTATCATGAGTGAATTTTTCATGTTGGCTCCCGAGCTAGCTCCTTGAGGATGGGAGGTTCTGAGATTTCCTTGTGTGCCTGACCTCTCACCCAGGGTGCCCTTCTGTGCTGCAGAGATGCTCTGCAAATATTTATTGGCTTGTTAATTGAAAACTTCCTCTGAAAGGATGGGCAGGGGTAGGAAAAGATGTCACCTGTGGGAGCCACTGACACCTTTGTGGTACTGCTGAAGGAGTGAAGGTGGCTGGGGGGATGGCTGGAGCCTGGGGTTATCTGGAGTTCTTCAGGCTCACCTCAGTGTCTCTGGCATATCTGATTAAACGTGGGTTTCCTGAAAGGATGCTTGTCGTTGAGCAGGCTTGTGGGTCACCTTGGCCACACTTGGGAGGCGGGCAGCCTGGGAGTATCTTACCTGCATCCTCTGGACTTCGCCGTAGGTAAAGATGGGAACAAAGGCTTCTGTCTGGGAGGCCAGCATGGCGGCTGCATGCACTACCAGCAGGACGGCCGTGGCCTTGCGGGACAGCATTCTGGAGCTGGACAATGACAGGGAGCCCCTGTCACCCTGTGTAGGGCTCAGGGACAGACCACTGCATTGGAGGCTGGCGCCCTCAACTCTGGTCCATGCCCCACCTGGGCCTGTGTGATCCTGGGCAAGCTGCTTACCCTCTCTGGATTTGGGCCTGGTGTGGGGTTGTACCAGAGGAGCTCAGAGCCTCTTCTCTGCCCCAAACCCCCAAGAGAGGCCGCCCTGCCCCCTGCCCACACCAGAAAAGAATCATCCCACTTGTTGGCCCTTCCTTTTGTTACTGGGGCGGTCTTCGGGGGTCAGATGGGCTAATGAAGCAGGAGCAACCCCATACTGCCAATAAAAAACTCTTAGATTATCAGTAGAAGCAAGTCCCGAGATCCAGAGAGCCCTGCCTGCTCCCAGAGCCAATTAGGATAAGAGGGATGGATCCAGGCCCATCCGGTCCTGCCTGGTGGTACCAGGCCAAGACCCCAGGTCTAGAGAGGAAGGGGTTGAGACCCTCTGCCCAGGTGGAGCAGAGCCGGATGGAAAACTCCAGCCTGGAGCCCCACAGAAGAACAGGGCAGGGTCCCCGCCCCTCTGGGCCGGCGCTGGCCCAGCTCCAGCAAGTCTAGGGGCCTGCTGGCCGCCTTCCAGAAACAGCCTTCTTCCTGTACCCCCCCCCCCCACCACCACATCCAGTGCCACCGGTGCTGGCAAGGTGCCAGCGTAAGAGCGCGCTGGAAACATCCCAGAAGTGAGTGTGTCGGGAATAGCTGGCGGACCAAGACCGCCAGGGAACAGGTGGGCGTGGGGAGCCCAGGAGTGCAGAGCTGAGAAAGGGGCGGGGTCAGAGTGTTGCCGGGGGTCGGGGCGTGGCCTGCGGGGCGACGGCGGGGTTGATTCCTTCCACTTAGCACAGGGGGGTCCCATTCCAAGCCGTCTCCCACACACTCCTCGCACCGGCTTGGAGCAGGTGTGATCCGGGGAGGGGAGGAGACCTGCGGAGGTGAAGGGACCCACTTGAAGGCAGTAGGGGCTAGAGGCCAGCCCTTCTGAGGCCTGGTGCGCGTGGCCTCTGCCCACAGAAGGGGGAGGCACCACACGGGGCAGGACCCCCGAGCGGGGAGGGGAGGCCGGGGGCAGCCTCTGCTGCAGCAGTGGTGGGGGGGTTACAGGGTTCAGATTAGGAGCTTCTGGGGCTCAACTGGGGGTTCCCACAGCCCTTGGGCGGACTGGATTCCATTGGGAGGAGAGGGTCCTACCCCAGACTGGCCCCCGAGCTTCCCTTTGGGTCCGACTTCCACCCTCCCTTTGGAGAGAATCTTCCAAGGCTGTGGGCTTGCACCTTGCCTCTCCACCAGGACCCGTCTCCTCGGTCATCTGAAGGCCCCCCTGCCTTCTCGCGCTCTTGCTGCCCCGTCCTGTATGGTCTCCCCATGTTGCTAAACTCCAAGAGCGAGAACAGGAGGGCTCAGACGGCCAACGCCTGCCATTCTAGGGGGGTGGGAAGGACCGCCCACCCGCTGAAGACCGCCTCTCAGAAGCCGAGGCCCCACGCTCTGTTGAGGGGACAGGGCGCGGTGAGGAGGGGGGCTTCGAGTCGCAGACCCCCTCCCCTTGCTGCAGAGTCTCTGGGCCCCACTCCCTCGAGGAGGACCCCGCTGTATCACACGGCTGGTGCTTCATTTCCTTCGTGGAGAGGCCACGGATCCCTTTCCATTCTGGTGTTCACATTTAATTCACTCCATCAGAATCAATAAAAACGTTAAATAAGAAGGCGAACATCCAATTGCTGCTCACTTTCGTGATCCAACTGGCAGCCGGCATGTCACCTACGTTTGTTTGCGTTCTGGGCGCTCATAGTGGGAACGAGAGCTTTTTCACTGTAGGATGAGCTGCTGACTTTGCTTTTTTCCATCCCTGCGGCTGAGGCTCAAGCGCTTTTGCCAAGGGGTCGGCGGTCTCTTCTTCCTGCTGGTCTTGTCCAGCCACCGTCTCTCCTGAGGGCCCCAGCTCTTTTGTTGGCTTCCCAGAGCCCAGGCTCCACGCCGGGCGGGCAGCCCTGCGTCCGAGCTGGTCCCTGGCTTGGGTTCCCGGCCTGCAGTTGATGACCAGGTCTCCAGGCAGCTTCTCTTTTGCAGGGATTCGTACCCCCCACTCCGCCTCCAGCCCTGCCCGCTGTGTGCGGCTTTACCTGGCACTCGGTCTGCAGCCTGGGAAGGTACTGAAATGTGACGGAGCCCCGCAGGAACAGTGGGCTCACCCCAGAGAGCTCTGGACTCAGCGGGCTCGCGCACACCCCATCTTTGGGCTCAGGCTGACCACTCCCCACCCCCTTCTATGGCTACTCACAGTGCACGTGCGTTCTGAGTGGGCCGGGCAGCTCTCTCTGCTTGTCTGCTGTTCCAGCCGGTCCCACCGGCCCTTATATACCTCCTGCCCCCCTTAGAGTCCATTAACCTTTGGATGCTCTGGATGAGAATCCAGCATCTGGATTCCTGGAGCTCGTAGAAACAGCGGGCAGGGCTTGGCATGTCGGCCTTTCCTGGAAAGCCTTTTCCTCAGGGGGCAGTCAGGGTGCGGTGCAGGCCAGTCCCCACCCGGATGGTACCCTCCTGTCCACTGAGAACTCACCTGATGCTCAGAGGGTCATTTTAATGAAAGTGCTTTCTTTTTTTCATTACTTAAATATATAATGTTGCTGAGCGTCTCCAGGCGACTCCAGTGATCAGATTCTCTGTCGGCCTGTCAGAGCACTGTACTACGGAGATAACTTGTCTTCAGCTTTTCCCCTGAAGCCCCTCTTGAAAGAAAAGATGCCAGAGTGTGTGGCAGCGTTTCAGCAGATTTGTGAAAAGAAGATGACAGTCCAGACCCAGGGCCGTGGAGGCCCAGAGTGTCCGTGGAGGGCCAGGGAGGGCATAATGCGTACAAAAGGTTTGTGGCCTAAGTGGGGGGTGGGGGCACCTATCCAGGAAACCTTTTTGTGGTAATTGTGTCATCAAAGTATGTTAGAAAGTGTTAGTCGCTCAGTCCTGTCCGACTCTTTGCAACTGCGTGGACTGTAGCCCACCAGGCTCCTCTGTCCATGGACTTCTCCAGGTAAGAATACTGGAGTGGGTAGCCATTCCCTTCTCCAGGAAGTCCTCCTGGCCCAGAGATTGAACCAGGGTCCCTGCATTGCAGGCATATTCTTTCCAGTCTGAGCCACAGGGGAGCCCACATGTCATCAAGTAGCAGCATTAAAGACTCAAAGAGGGAAGAGGGGAATGCATGCTGCAGTCAGACAAGGCTGCCCACGCCGGCTTCTGAATGCGTTAGCACCTCTGGCAGCCCTCAGGGAACGCTTGATGCCTGTGTTCTAATCAAACCTCAGCGACACCATGAGGTCGGTGCTCTTGTTTACCCCATGTTGTTGTTTTTTAGTTGCTCAGTTATGTCCAATTCTTTCGTGACCCTCCGGGCTGAAGCCCACCAGGCTCCTCTGTCCTTGGCATTTCCCAGGCAAGAATACTGGACTGGGTTGCCATTTCTTTCTCGAGGGGATCTTTCTGACCCAGGGATCGAACCCACGTCTCCTGCATTTACAGGAGGATTCTTTAACCACTGAGCCACCAGGGAAGCCCTTATCCTGTGTTACAGATAAGGACACGGAGGACAATTAAATATCTCTTCTGCAATTCTAAGGCAGGATTTCTTCATATAAAGGTCAAGGCTGGACATGGCCAGGTGTGGCAGAAGGTGGGAGTGGGGGTTTCTGGGATGCAGGGTGCACAGGTGCAGAGGATGGCAGGATGGGGGTGTCTCAGAAGGTCCACTGTGTGGTTGGAAGAGGGTCAGGCTGGGGCCTGAGGATGGGGCCTTAGAAACCAACAGAAGGATTTAGATTGGATGGGGGAGGAGGTTGGGGGCCCCCCTGTTGTCTTGGAGGACATATGACAAACGTGTGGTGAAGGAGGGGCACTCGGTATTGGGGTGTAGGCACTGGAGCAGGGAGAGGCGGGGCTGGGAGGCTGGTGGGGAGGTGGCTGGGCAGCCTGGGGTGAAGTCCCGAGGGTCCGGGAGGCACAGGCTATTCCCTAGGTGAACCTCGTTGGTCATTAGTGACTTCCAGAGAGGCTACCCCAAACATCTGGAAGGGGACTGCTCCTCCACCAGGAACCCCTATCCTGTCATTCTTCAGTCAGCTCTGGCTTTTGCCATCTGGAAAAAACAGATGTTTGCTGTGCTTCGAACCCAACCCAGATATCCTCTAAACTCGCCCTGTTCAGCAGGGCTTCCCACCGGCTGGGGCTCTGTGTTCTATTCCCGATGCGAGGTTAGACCTCCTCTAGCATGCTGTGTTGGTGATACTCCTGTGCCCTGGGTCTCTGGAGTCTGAGATTTATCTCAGAGGAATTAGAGCCCAGAATGCCAGGGCTTGGAATGGAACTGCCATTTCTTAACCTTGGCCTGATCAGAGTCTCACTGCCCCTGTTTCAAGAGGGACCTAAAAAAAAATTATTCATTTTTAATTGAAGGATAATTGCTTTACAATATTGTGTTGGTTTCTGCCATACTTCAAAATGAATCAGCTGTAGGTATACATATGTCCCCTCCCTCTTGAGCTTCTGTCCCAACTCCCACCCCATCTCACCTCTCTAGGTTGTCGCAGAGTCCTGGTTTGAGTTCCTGGAGTCATACAGAAAATTGCCACTGGCTATCTATTTTACATATGGTAATGGACTATAAAGAAAGCTGAGCGCCAAAGAATTGATGCTTTTGAACTGTGGTGTTGGAGAAGATTCTTGAGAGTCCCTTGGACTGCAAGGAAATGCAACCAATCCTGAATATTCTTTGGAAGGACTGATGCTGAAGCTGCAGCTCCAATACTTTGGCCACCTGATGCAAAGAGCTGACTCATTGGAAAAGACCCTGATGTTGGGAAAGATTGAAGGTGGGAGGAGAAGGGGGTGACAGAGGATGAGATGGTTGGATGGCATCACTGACTCGATGGACATTAGTTTGAGTAAGCT